CGTGTCACGGTTTCGATTACCCGCACGGAGCAACTCTTTGTGTGATCCTCAGATTGTTGTTCCGGGTCTGGGTATCATGTGAACTTGTATGTTTGTAAACGCACCCAAGACACAGTGTAAATCCTAGTGTGGGGCAACATTACTCCTTACTCGAGAATCCTTACTCGCCAATCGGACTTCCGACCACTCCACCAACCAGGCACACAATGAATTGTTTAGGTAGTAAATTGATTTCCTAATACACAGGTAATATGAAGTATTTGTATAAAATGTCCAATTATCTATTTGTCGTGGCTCCAATGGAATTTACACAGGCGCGGTGGCATGCACTACACAAGGTGCAAAGTGCACATCTGTGTGTATACATAGACATGTCTACATAGCGTTAGAAGTATTCACGATTAACACCATATTGCTAATATTTCTCGATCTCAAGTCCCGTGTGAAGCCAACATTGAATCTAGAAGAACATACAAACAAATGAAGATCTAAAGCTGACATTTGCTAAGGTAAATTCTATTTTTACACTTTTAAAGTTCTTTTTTGATTGACATTTAACAGAGTAAATGCCAATAGCATAGAATTTATTATAAGTAATATTTAATTTTAATAACTCATCTATAAACTTAGACCTTTAGACCATTCGAATTACTATCATATTCGCGTAGTAATAAGGTTTTATAATAATATTTATTTATTTATTCAGATAACTGAGATCCATCAAATTAATAGTAAGGGAAGAACACAATCATACATAACTACATAACTATTTAGGTACAATGTTAATAAGTAATAGTAAACAGGGACTTAGTCCGCTGCACTAATTTCCACATCAATGGACAGTCATGTCTACTGGCTATGGCAGTCAGAATACCGTGGCGATTTATAATTTAGTGAAGTGAAGCGTGAAGTTTTATAATCCCATGGCATTTTGTACCCAGGCTAATTAGAGCGTTTCTGGCCTATATTGATCGAGCTTTGTAAAAATTGCTGAAGATAGTACTTAGGCCGTAAGCCGTTGAACCTTTAATAATTTATATTCAATTAACTCTGCACATTAGATTACATTCGAGAAAATCTCAAAGTTCAACACTTTATATTAATTTTATACGCAGTTAAGTTAAGCATCTAATTAGTTTTAGAACATATTGTTTACAATTTTATCTCCCATCTCTTGACACTAAGCGATAAAGTTAGTATTAATTTAACGATCTTAAATTGAAAGGATAATGTTTGACTAGTTTGTTAACTATGACACAACATAATATAATATAACATCACGCCTTTTATCAGCAAAAGTGTAAGAAGAGGTGCACATTATGCCACTGTACAATGTAACGCCCACTTTTCACTATTTATGTTATGAGTCCCATGTAATAGGGGGTGAGCCTATTGCCATATACCGGGCACAATTCCAGACTCCGTGCTACTACTGAGAATTTTATAATAACCCAGTAATACTTTGCCTAACCCGAGAATCGAACCCGAGACCCCTTACCCGGCAGTGGCACTTGCGACCACCAGGCCAACGAGGCAGTCCTATGACCAATAGAATAAATAATTACTTAAAGTAACTCCTGAGGATATCCTTAATATGATTGCGAAAAAATAGGCTCTAGTTCTTCGACAAACATGGCCTAAGTCAACAGAAGCCCGTTGGCAACTAATCGAAGGTACGAACTCGTGATTACACGATTACAATTGTGATTGATCCACATTCTATCCACGTAATGATAGTACGTGACTGTGAATCGCACCTGCCGTCCCTTGACTTCTCTATAATAATGTAATTTAAACAAATACGACCCAAATACGGCCCTGAGGGTCTTAGATAACAATTTATGTGTCACTAGTGACCTGTGAAGACACTAGACTTGGTCTATTGCAACTCTATGATTCATAGTTTAACAGAAAAACTTATAGACAAACATATCCCATTAAAAAAAATCTCAGTAGTATCACGGAGTCTGGAATGTGTCTGGTATATGGCAATAGACATAGACTCGTAACATATATAGTAAAAAGTACGTATAACATTGTACAGTGGCATTAAGTGCACCTCTGCCTAGCCCTTCGGGGATAAAATGCGTGATGTTATGTATGTGGTGGAAGTGTGGGAGAGCCATGCTTCAGCACGAATGGGCCGGCTCGACCGGAGTCATACCACGGCCTCACAGAAAACCGACGTGAAACAACGATTGCGTTGTGTTTCGTCGTGTGAGTGAGTTTACCGGAGGCCCAATTACCCTCCCCTTCCCCAATCTCCCCAATTCCTGAATCCTTAACGATCCTCAAAATCCTAATCCCCAAAAGGCCGATAACGCACTTGTAACGCGTAACGCCTCAGGTGTCCATGGGCGACGCCGATTGCTTACCATCAGGTGATCCGTCTGCTCGTTTACCGTTTTTTATGCCATAAAAAAATGTATGTATCCCAAGTGCTTACACAATTTGGACCATTTTTTATATGAAGGTTTGTATCAAAATTATAGCTCTCATATACGATTAGATGACTGCTTTTTATTGTTTTGTGTTAAAAACTTACCTTTATCTAAATGGTCAACTAACTCTTAATGTTTTCCACAAATCGAATCTCTAATGAGCAGATTCAGAATTCTCAAGAGAGCCAAGAAGACCAATATAGGTACTAGAGGTATAGTTGCGGAGAATTGAAAAACTGGATCGGTCGCAAAAAGGTACCTGAATAACTGCGAGGAATGAAAAGTTCTAGACCGGTTTCAGTTCTAAAAGAAAATCGTGCGAGTTAATTACAGAAGGTAAATCTGTTGAATAAAAAGTTTTGAGTAGTTATTCCATTTGCTAAAGAAAAATGTAGGGTTTAGTATTGGAGTTAATTTTTAAAATAAAGACGGAATTATAGTACTTCAAGTTGTTAGAACGATAATATTGGGAACACTGAAGACTTTAAAAAAGTATGTTGCCAAAGCAAAAAATATTTTTTTGAAGATGCTAAAACTTTGTATATTTATTATACGCCAGTCTGTGTAAACAAAAACCATAATTAATTCGCCGCTATCCAGAGAAACCCACGCTTTTATAATTCAGTTCCATTCAGGTACGAACGAAAATACTAAAGGAACAGATAGACAAATGAACCAATTTAATCAAATTACTTCTAACCGAAACACCGAAAGACTACTCAATTTTGAATTTTACTTAAACATAGTGCCATCTCTATCATTTTGCAACGATTTTATAGTGACAGATCTATATTTAAGCACGGCTTAAAACTGAATTGCATTTGAGTATTTGGATATAAGTCAACCAAACCATAAAAATACAAAATTGTAACATACGCAAGTGACCCAGTTAAAAGTATGTAGTTTTATTATTAATGCAGTCTAAAAGACCGCAAAAACCGGATTTATTACTAACATAAATGAAATATACTGATTTTGATCTTGTTCTCATATGATTACTTAACATGTCTCCAGCAAAACATCGCAATTGCCATAAATATTACTAGGATACCAGTCTGCAGAATAGACATAAATAACAACGTGTTTATATAGGTATAGATAACATCAGATCATCACGCGCATCTAATATTTCCCGAGGGGTGCTTGCAGTACCTCTGACACACCCATTATTGGTCCCATGGAATAGGGGCCGACACCATCACCATTCATCACGTCTGACCTATTTACCTATAGAGGACATTTGAAACACCCAATAATGTTTTCGTTTGTAACACAATGGTATTTGTTTTATAAACATTAGACTATGAAGATTTACTCAAAAACTTTCATTAAATTTAATTTCATTGCAATTAGTAATCATCGAAAATTTAAGACTACAACCTAAACAAAAGCACTAATTATAATAAATAAACTAACTTTTACTACGCGTTACGAAATCACAATTCACATGCTGCTTCAGAAGAAGTAGGTCACAGACTGACAGAATAATTAATTTAATCAATAACCGTGAAATAAAATAACAAGGCGTGATGCTGTTGGTGTGTACGTCACGCACATTTAACCGGATTATGATGATTGGCGAATTTGAATGTTTCACACACATTTTTGATCAAAATACTGAGAGCTGTATGCCTTCGGATGTCGCCGATTACCGCTAGCGTGACTGACAATGAGTTAATCCTTCGAGTATTAGGTGATGGTCAACCATCCTCATTTGCAATTTAGGTTGATGCACACGCTATATCACTGAATTATTGATATGAAATATTCATTAATTGATCGACAAATATCTCCCGGTAACATGTCATGGTCATTTCTGGACAATCAAGTTTTTATCAATGAACAGAAGTGGTAACCACCAAAACACAGATGTATAAAATACTTTCTGTTCTTCAAATTTATGTGGAAGAAAATCTCATTTTACAAAGCAAGTGTAATTTGCACAATATAAAATAGATTCCAGTACCATTTGCACAATTTACAAGCAATTTTACACTAATTTGGGACTTGGAAATAGGGTTTAATATAACTTACTCGTCATACCTATTGCCATTACCATTTGGGCGCTAACAAAATACATCAAAATTATAAACACTGAAAATATGAAAGACAGCAATAAGATGAACAAATTGACTGCCTCGTGAATCCTTAGGTTTTAAACAAAAACATCTTTTTTTACCAAACGGCCTTTTTAAAGGTGAGATTATCAATGCTGACTATCATACAGGACAGCATATGTCATCTAATGGAGACTAATCTAGAACGATGAGTACTGGCCACCTTAGTTCCTAAAATAGTAATTCGTATTCAAAACAAACACTTTAGACCTACTAAATGACAAAACTAACCTTCAAGTAACTAAACGTATTACTTTAGTTAGGTATCAGTCACTACAAGACAAGTCAAGAGAATTTTGATTGTTAAATTAACAGCAATACCACGTAATATCCATTTACACGGAGTTGTATGACTCACTAGTGATTACACAATTGCCAACTCCATAGAAGAACACTAAACAATACTATTTTGTTCCAGGAATGAAGAATACAAGGTCACATCATGCAATGGTGGTTCTTCTTACTTTACATCTCAGCTGTCAAAGCTCAGTTTGACACTCGGAGATTTTTAGACTACTGGACTGATTTATTTCGTCCCCTACCTCGCAATCCCAGGGAAGGTTTCGTCCCAGACTACACGCCAAAAAATCAAGAAGAATTTGATTTTATAGTCATTGGAGCTGGGTCCGCGGGTTCTGTAGTAGCTAACCGATTAACTGAAGTTCCACAATGGAAAGTATTGCTTATAGAAGCAGGAGGGAACGAAAACTTCTTTTCCGACATTCCCATATTTGCTCCGTTTCTCTCCCTCACCGGCATGAACTGGGGTTACAGTTCAATGCCAGAACCCAGAGCATGCAGAGATCTAAGAGGAAAAGTGTGCTTCTTACCGCGAGGCAAAGTTCTCGGTGGTAGTAGTGTACTCAACTTTTTAATCTATCAACGTGGACATCCGGAAGATTACAATGACTGGGCTAGAATGGGCAACGACGGCTGGAGCTACAACGAAGTACTTCCATACTTCAAAAAGTCAGAAAATATAGGTGTTAGAGAATTACGAAATTCTTCATACCATGGCGTTGGTGGATATTTAGACATTGAGTACTCGCCGTACCATTCACCTCTTGAGAAGCCATTTAAACAAGCTGGTGAAGAACTTGGATACGAATGGAGGGATCCAAACGGAGAGAATTTGATTGGTTTCTCAAAACCACAAGCAACAATGCGAAAAGGTAGAAGGTGCAGTTCGTCAAAAGCATTCATAGAGCCAATACGCTTCAGGCCTAATTTAAAAGTTACGAAATTTTCTACCGTATCGAAAATTTTAATAGACCCCTATACTAAAACAGCTACCGGCGTTGAATTTACGAAGCGTAATATGAGGTAACTTGTTTTATACGGCAGTGTAATATTATATTTTATTAAATTAGCTGTCTTAATATTGTGTACGTATATTAATATAAAGCCTACTTTATTAAATTTCAGTATACAGGTACGGGCACGTCGTGAAGTGATTTCGTCTGCAGGATCTATTGGCTCGGCTCAGTTGCTGATGGTATCTGGAATAGGACCACAAGACCATTTACAGGAATTCGGGATACCAGTGATAGCTGACCTTCCTGTAGGATACAATCTCCAAGACCACGTTACATTTTCTGGGAACGCTTTCATCGTCAACCAAACGGGAATGACTATGAATGACGTAAGTAAAAAAGTAGCTACCTATATATATAACCTACAAAACAACAAAATATGAGGAACACGATCCTCGTCCCCTTTCCAACAGTATTCTTGTACTTGACCTATCAAGCACACTCAACTGGCCGCATTCGAACTTGCTGAACATAGTACTTTGGTACCAGAGAGGGAAAACTGCTTCCTTTCTAAATAAAATGTAGGTACATTTGTGTCAACACAACACAGAATAGAACATTGTTTATGCATCATGTCTTTCCGTGACGTAAATAAGTATCTACATAATGACAACGCACATGATATAACAAATAAACAAATAATAAAATTGATGCAACACGCCACTTTTTTGTCTACGAAATGAATACAAGAACTGAAAACACGGTTTGATAGAAAAACAAAAATAAAATAGGTACCTAATAAGTTTCTTAGGTAATAGGTTTCATTATTTATTTCATTTACTATTTACTATTCCATCTTACCTACCTAACTGTTTTATTATGTGCCTACGTAAATTATTTAAAATTAAAAATAATAACTGAATTCTGAATTTAAATAAAAAAAAAAACAAAGACAAAGCAAGTGATATTTTTAAACAGTTTGAAACTTTTAATACTTATTATGCTAATACGTGAGGTATTTTCTGGAGCGTGTTTTTAAAGTGAAATTAAAAGCCTCGCTAAAGTTCGAATTCGAAAAGCGGGATCAGAGCTCGTCAGCATAAAAGAATTAATTCGAAAAGTTGGGAGAAGCCTTCATATGCTCGTGCTGGTCATTTCAAATTTCGACGATGCTAGTAATTAGTTGATAGGTTTATTTAAGTAGCCAGGTATACCGCTACTGTATTCATTTTATTAATTGACTTATAAACGATTCATACGAACCTATGAAATCAATGAATGAGGCCAATCATGCTCGTTTGTTGTTAACAAAACTGCTATAATAACTGCTAATTAAGTTGGTTACATGCGTTTATGTTTGTCTGCTCAGTCTCCGTTCAAGTGTACCTGTACTTAGGTATGGTAAGAGGTGAATTAAATATTAAATTACTTAAATGTGTCTTAATTTTCAACTAGCTTTTACCTGCGGCTTCGCTCGAGTCACAAAAGGATAAAAAGTAGCCTATGTGACATATAATGATATACACAGCGCCATCTATAACAATACTTTTGTATTCCCTCGAGAATATCAAATTTTTCCGGGATAAAAAGTACCCTATTATTTAATCCGGACTTCTAACTTATGTCTGCAAAAATTCAAAGCAATCGGTTTAGTATTTACGGCGTGAAAGCGGAACAAACAAACAAACTCACTTTCCGATTTATAATATTAGTAAGGATTAACTTGTCCTTAACTTGAATAACTAGGCTATTAACTCCAACAAATCACCAATAATGTTTTTTTAAATTCAAAATTACGTAAATATGTGTCACGGTATGATCTCCAATATTATACAGCGACTAGAAAACTAAACTAGGTGACGTAATGACCTAATTTTCTATTAGGTAACTACCCTTTGTTTCCTAACTTTCACACCTAGTTTTTCTGCATAATTCGAAGCTTAGCCATGGAAATGTGGTTGCAGAACTACAACAATACCAACTTCCCTGTACCTGGGCAGTTTGCAACAACTGTTGCGTACGTTATTGTACATATTCATATCGTATTTAATTATCCAGGGTACGTATTCCATTGAAAACTGTGAAAAATATTCGAATTTTGAAGATTTTGCGAGCCCGAATTTACAATCGACTAAAAATGTATATTTTATGAGTAGATATCTGAAGTTAGTGCTTTGTTTGATACCTAGCCATGTCCAATTATCTAACACTGAACGGGAAGGTACGAGCTAGTGATGTTAAGGTACGCTACCAAATATGCAAATTTTTAATAGGTAGCTGAAATGCCGTTTCCACAATAGGTACTGGAGAAAAACCAAGTTATTTGAACGTAAAAAAACATATGCTTTGAAAGTTTTCTGTAACGTGATTATACTAGCTACTTTCGCGCGGTTTCACACGCTCAGCTCCTATTGGTCATAACGTGATATTTTATAGCCTATAGCCATCCTCGATAAATGCGCTATCCAACACAAAAATAATTATTGAAATCAGATTTGTAGTTACGGAGATTAGCGCGTTCAAATTCAAACAAAAAAACAAACTCTTCCGCTTTATGTAATAGTATAAGATAAGATTTATATCTTAACAGTTGGCTGCCGCATCCCCCTTCGTAGCAGCTGCATACATGCAAGGACGAGGTCCACTGACCCTGCCTGGTGGAGCCACTGGACTTGCCTTCGTGCACACAAAGCATTCATACGATGTGGATCAGACCAGACCTGATATAGAACTGGTCATGGGAGCTGGATCTCTAGCTGGTGATGCTATGGGAATATTACGGTCTTTGCTGGGTAATTGTCCACTGTTTAATTATATCCCAATTTTCTTTTATAAATCACTGTATGCTTTACCTAACTCACCAATCAGAAATGGTACTTAGTATTAATTTGTTCGACTCATCAATCGAAAGGTATTACAAAACTTACATGGCCGAAAAAAATATTTGTTTCTACAACCTACTGACTAAAACTAATTTGGATACAGGCCAGAATTTAAACTCTTACACGTACCTCAACAACACCTGCTGACCTGCATAATCTATTTCAAAATAGAAAAACTTTACCTATGTCTAGAGCAGCTTTGTTTATTCCATTAAAACTTTAATGAAAAGAGATTATGAAAGTCGACGACGATCAGTGATCCGGAAAATAACCTCTTCCGCGAGCATGGCATCAACTTCAACTTTTAATGAATAACTTGGGTTTTGTCGTTGCAGGAGTGACGGATAAGTGGTACCGAGAGGTGTATCGGTCTTTGCCAATAGGGGCGAGGATGCGGACATTTTCCATAAACCCCGTGCTAATCCGACCGAACAGCGTTGGCCGATTAATGCTCCGAAGTCCAAACTTCACCGACCATCCCAGAATCCATTTAAACTATTTCGCTGATCCGAACGATTTGCGAACTATGATCGAAGGTGTTCGTATGGTAAGTGTACTTAGCTATCAAATAGATATAGGTCTAAAAATAACTTTGTCTAACCCAGATATAAAAATTGCTCCGCTTTTCAATTCCAGGTACAAAAAATAATTGGTACGAAAGCGTTCCAGCGTTATAATACTAAATTACACACAACACCGTTTCCCGGCTGCGAGGCTTTGTTGTTCGACTCGGATGAATACTGGGAGTGTGCTATTATGCAGACTTCCATCACATTAGACCATCAAGTAAGAAGCGCTGTTTACAATCCATTTTACTATTTTATGACGGTGAATGTTCACGTTTAACTTTGTTGAATTCAGAACTTATAATGAACTTTTAAAGCATTTTATGAACATTTAAGTAGCTACTATGTTGCCGGGCAACGAAAGCAAGATCGATTCCCGCACTAACTGTAGTTTTATACGGAAAATCAGACTTTGGTTTTCTACACGGAATTAAGACTTTGATTTAGCAGACCTAGAAACACTTGGGTCCTTCTGAACCTACATTTATTAGCCAAAAATCCATTACTTATTTATTTATTAACTCTTTAATGCTCACAAAAATAAGGTCCATAAGGCAGACTTTCTCCCAGTCAACCTTTGGGTTAAATATAGAAAACAAATAACTAATTAATACGTAACATCAATTGTTTGCAGGTTGGTACGTGCAAAATGGCACCAGCTGGTGATCCTACAGGCGTAGTCTCACCAAGACTTCAGGTCCATGGAATTAAAGGTTTAAGAATAGCTGACGCGTCCATAATGCCACGGATACCGGCAGCACACACACACGCCGCCGCAGTCATGATTGGTGAAAAAGCTGCAGACCTTATAAAAGAAGATTGGGGCATATCTACCCTGACAAACAAGTTATAATATACAGCACTAAATAGTTTTATAAATCTAAATTAATTAGTTATTTTACAGTTTAACCTCTTGTCTGTCGATATAAGAGACACAATACAAAACACACTGTCTCGCGTAGATTAGCGTTCCGACAGTCCACAGGTTAATCACGTAACTGTTTTTGGTATAAATCGACTCATTTCGAGCCACGGTCGGGAGTCATAGTTATGAGCTGTGAACTACGTGAGTAAGCTGTAATACATAATTACTTAATTATTTATTATTGTTATAAGCAGTGATGTAATGTGTAACATTTATTGTGAAGTTATAATTAGATAGGTAATTAAATATGTAATGTAATAAACGTATGTAGGCAAGTAAAGTACGTGAAAAGCATAAATCTAGTCAATTGAATTTACCAAATATACAGTACTAGTTATTAATTAAATACAAATTCAGTAAATTCAGTGCCTATATAAATAAATATGTGCAAATTAATAAGTTAAAGAAGCATAATAAAAATGTTCGAATTAAGAATACGCTGAACTAGTGACATCTATCGTTGAATTAGTGATATCGCAGGCACCCTTCATTTTGTGTATGTAGTCTTTGGCAACTGGCACAAGGGAGATGGTGCCGTAATCACCGTTTTCTCACAATCACTGTGGGTCGGAAGTTTCAGCCCTAGATTGAAATCCTCAACAATAATTTGATTACAACAGAAATCGGTCGCTAAGTCAGTTTGATTATTAGATTTTCAACTTTATCACAAAAAGTTAAGGTTGAAAAATGTTCTGTAGGAATTAGAGACTTAACGACTGAATTTTGTCACTGTATGGACAGGACTACCGGCCCTTCGGGGATCGGTACCGATCACACCGTACCGGATTTTTGGGCGTAGGTAAATCGAGTGTAGCTCAAAAAATATAATAGGTATTATTGAATTAATAAAATATAACACTGGCTGCTTTACAGTGTTTAGTTTTTGAATAGTTCTGCCAGGTGGCACTTTATGTTTTTGTTTCGTTCTGTTGTTGTTCTTACCTTTCATAGAAGTATGTGCAAGTAAATAAAAGTAAATAATTATTTACAAGAATACAATCTTTTATTAGAATTCCTAGCCCCTAACTCAATAGGTTATGGGCCCAGGATACTCTGCTAGTGAACATAAGGTAAAGAAAACGTGAATAAGAAAAAATTCATTGTCGAGATTTGTAACGTCAAACAAAATGGATCCGACACGAATGAATTTAGAAAAATTTGATGGAAATAACTTTAGACAGTGGAAATTCCAAATGAAATGTGCTCTGAAGGCAAAAGGAATAGATATTTATAAGCCAAAACCAGAAGCAAAGGCAGAAGAGTGGTTGAAAAATGATGGTATGGCGATGTACATATTAACATCTTCTATGGATTTCAAGCAAATCACATTAGTAGAAAACTGTGAAACTGCTAAAGAAATAATGACAAAACTTGAGTCTATATATGAGCAAAAGAGTGAATTATGTAAAATGCTAATTCATGAGAAGTTTTATCAATATAAAATGTCGGAAAGTGACAGTGTGGCTCAACATATTTCTAAAGTTGAAACCTTAGCAAAGCAGTTGAAAGAAAGTGGCGAGAATGTTAGTGAGATGGCTATCATTACAAAAATACTTGGAACATTGCCCTTAAAGTATAGATATCTGCGCCAAGCATGGATGTCATTGGATCCCACACAACAAACTCTCAACAATTTGACGGCTCGTTTATTAGATGAAGAAGCTAGTTTAGTGTCTGTGGAAGAGCAAGAGACAGCTCTCCTTGTTGCCAACAAAGGTTGGAAGAAACAAACGAAGCAAATTGAATCTGGACATAGTGGGAGTAGTGTGAATCAAAACAAAACCACTAAACACAGATTTGAGTGTTATAACTGTGGAAAAAGAGGGCATTTTGCAAAGGAATGTCGTTTTCCGAATAAAAATAAGTACAGAAAGTCTACACAACCATCTGACAACTTGGCATTTAATGTGGAAGTCGATTGCAACAAAACAGAAGACAATTCGTGGATATTAGACAGTGGCGCCTCTGCACACATGACCTACAGAAAAGACTTCTTTGTGGAGCTGTTTGAATGTGATCAGAAATCGTTAACATTAGGAAATCAACAAGCTATAGAAGTATCCGGCATTGGTAAAGTGTTGATAAAGAGATATGTTAATGGACAGTGGATAAACAGTGAACTGCATAGTGTATTATATGTTCCTAGTCTACGGAGGAATTTATTTTCAGAAGGAGTTATTATACGACAAAATTACTCTATTATAAAGAAGGATTTAAGCGCTTTGATATATAAAGAAAATGACATAGTGATGAGTGCAAAAATAAGAGAAAATAATCTGTATGAGTTGAATATAAAAACAATAGTTTCAAATACTTGTAACTTAGTTCAAAATAATAAAAGTGATATAAAAATATGGCATGAACGTTTAGGACATATTAATACAAAACAAATTAAAAATATGTTTGTTAATAATACAGTAGAAGGTCTAAAAATTAATGAAAATGATGAACTAAGTTTTGTTTGTGAGGCATGTGCATATGGAAAGCAGTGTAGGTTTCCATTTCATAAATCTACACGAGGAGAACTACAGCCTGGGGACTTGGTGTATAGTGATGTCTGTGGACCGATGAGTCAAGCTTCAGTTCAAGGCATGAGATATTTCTTGTTGTTCAAGGATGCAGCTACAAGTTTCAGGTATGTATATTTTATTCAAAATAAGAATGATGTTATGGAAGTATTCAAGAAATATAACAATATTGTTAAGAATAAATATATGCATGGTGTTAGAACATTGCATACTGATAATGGAAAAGATATGTGAACAATGTTTTTGATAGAAAAGAAGGAATAGTTCATGAGCTTACTGCTCCGTACACACCAGAGCAAAATGGGCGTGTTGAAAGAGAGAATAGAACAATAGTGGAGAGTGCTCGTTCAATGTTGTATGCGAGAGATGTTCCACTATATCTATGGGCCGAAGCAGTACAATGTGCTGTTTATATATTGAACAGAACATCTTCCAGTCAGACTCCAGGCAAAACCCCATATGAATTATGGTATGGTACTAAACCGCAAATAGGTCATTTGAAGGTGTTTGGCAGTGTTGGATATGTTCATGTACCAGATCAATTGAGGACAAAGTTTGAAAAGAAGAGTAAAAAAATGATATTAGTTGGTTATGACAACAACAATTACAGAATGTATGATACAGATAGAAAAACCATAAAAATATCTAGGAATGTAATTTTTGATGAACATTTGGTTACAGAAATAAGGAAGAATATTGCACAGATTAGTATTATGGATGATGAAGATAATGCTGTGCAAAATAATAAAACAGAATCAGTGAATGCAGTTAATGAATTAAATGAAACAAATCAGAATGAGTCTGATGAAAGCTTGATGAGCTGTAACAGTGAAGACCCAGCATATGAGCCGTCTCAAGAAATAGAAAATATATCACACTCAAACATAACATTGAGACCAAGAAATAATCGACGGTTTGAAGCGAACCTGGTTGAGTTGTCATTGCCTCAAACATATAATGATGCATTACAAAGCCCACAGAAAAAGGAATGGTGTCAAGCTATCAAGGAGGAATTGGCTGCACATAAAGAAAACAATACATGGAGTGTAATAGAAAGATCTGATCAGAGAACGCTTACTACAAAGTGGGTCTTTACAATTAAGAAGAATGAGAAAAATGAAAAACGTTATAAAGCTCGCTTATGCGCACGAGGGTTCAAACAGATCAAAGATGTTGACTATCAAGAAATATTCTCTCCTACAACTAGGTATGATTCTATTAGAATTGTTCTCTCTATTGCAGCTAAGTATAAGTTAGCAATTCAACAATTTGATGTAAAAACAGCTTTTCTCAATGGTTATTTAGAAGAAGATATTTTTATAGAAGTACCTGAGGGAGTTAAGTTAAATAAAAATTGTGTATTAAAGCTTAATAAATCCCTGTATGGCTTGAAGCAGGCTCCTCGTTGTTGGAACAAAAGGTTTAGTAATTTTCTGTTAAAATATGGCTTTGTACAATCTCAAGCTGATAACTGTATTTTTGTTGGGAAGTTTAATAATATTAAGATATTTTTAATAATATAAGTTGATGATGCTCTTGTAATATCTACTGGTAAATTGCTTATTCAAGAGAAGGCTGAGTTGGGCTTGATTAAAATTAAGTATGTTCCTAGTAAAAGTCAGTTGGCAGATATTTTCACTAAGACTTTACCAACTCAGGTTTTTATTACTTTAAGAGATAATATTTTGTTTTGTATTGAATAGTTTGTTTTAATATGTTTATTGTTTGAAGAGTGTTATATTTTAGTGGGAGTATTGAATTAATAAAATATAACACTGGCTGCTTTACAGTGTTTAGTTTTTGAATAGTTCTGCCAGGTGGCACTTTATGTTTTTGTTTCGTTCTGTTGTTGTTCTTACCTTTCATAGAAGTATGTGCAAGTAAATAAAAGTAAATAATTATTTACAAGAATACAATCTTTTATTAGAATTCCTAGCCCCTAACTCAATAGGTATAAATACTATTTTTCGATACTGCAGCATAGTTATTAGAATAGTATTTTCAAGTGCAATATATGTAAATAAGTTTATTTTAAAGAAATGTAAGCAAAGCTTATCTCATAATGTAATTACAAAAAACTATCTGAATCAGTAAATCTATTTCATTTTTTAAATATAAAGTATAATAATAAATAAATAGAACATTTCGTATGTACGTCTTTTTTATTCTGTTGTCATTCATACCCTATTTGTGCCCCAGTACATTCAAGAGGTCTTATTGGACTTAGGATATTAGATCACTTGAAGTGGAAAGGTGAGGTGTAACTACTTCACAAAACATTTTCAACAGTTTAAAGCATTTTATTCCTATTTTGTACAACACTACAATATACTTAAAGTAAAAACTATATCAATTTAATTAGGAGATGGGCCTGTCTTCGTTTTCCTGTTAAGCTTTCTGTACAAGAAAGATATTCTCCTTTCCAAATCCTTCCACTTAGTAGGTCTCATTCGAGGTAAACCAGCCGGACCCAACATTTTTCTTTTTCTCAATAAGATCTGAAACAAAGGTTTATGTATAATTCAATACCAATAAAATAAATGAAATTTTAAATATCCTCTAGTAAACAATGAGTATTCAGAGTTAGTTAGTTTGTTCATTTGAACAAGCTAATCTCTGTAACTACTGATCCGTTTTGAAAATTTCTTTTTGTGTTGGATAGTCCAGTTATCGAGGAAGGCTATAGAGGCTATAAAACATCTCGCTACGATCAATAGAAGCCAAGCATAGCGGGTGAAACCACATGAACGTACCTAGTTAACTATAACACCAAAATACATAATTTACTTTGTTTTTATAATAACTATCGTGAGACATACTAAATTACCTAAAAATCGCGGGTTACTCACGTGAATATACTGAGAAATGCTCTACTAGTTTCGAACCACACAGGGATTCTTAATCATGAGCAGCGTGCGCGGTCGTGGCGATGTTGCGCAGCCTACTGTAGTAGGCCCGCGATTTTTAGTTAACATAATTTACTTTATTATTATTTGTGCATTGACAGCAAACATGGTTTTCTTTATGGGATACCAACTAAACTATAAGTGTTGCAAGTGTAACTATTAGTAATTTATTCTTGGTAATGTAAATGGTAATACATTTTTTACTCACTTGATACTCATTGCCATTCACTCCTCTTATCCAAGATGGAACTGTGTACAGTGTCTTCACAGGGTGCAAGTCTCCAGGCCCAAGGATATCAATGTAATCATTTTGACCAAACAAAGCTTTGCGCTCAGTCCATTGGTTAGCTGGCCTATAAAATATTAATATTTTTTATTATATAATGTAAAAATGTTATTGAAGTTGTTTATTGATTTAGAAAATGATACTACGTCACTCATCATTCATCACATCAAATGGTATTGAACACATCGTTATCGACAAATAAACATCCCACATATTATGTTATCAAGTAGAGAGTAAATAACCAGAGGCTATTTAAAACATTTGTGTGTAATAATTAGCCTTACTAGCAGCATTGATATATTTGTAGGTTACCTGTACTCTGGCATAGGCAGAGGTTTCCCTAAAGTCCGAGGAAGTAATCCACCTTTCCAGATCTGTTCTTCAAAACCATATCTTTTAATGACACGGTGTTTTTCCGAATGATATCGTGTTCTAAAATAAACAAAACCATCAGTAAACAGAGTTCAAAAAGCGAAAAGATAACATTGCTTTTAATTTTTCTAACCTAACAATGTTTACACTAGGTTTCCAAAATAAATTCAGTACGGTTGATCCTAGCCACGCCATATTATTGTAGTTCTATCATCAGCAATTTATCTTTAGTTATTTAATACACACAATCTTGAAATTAATTCAGATTTTTAGTCAAAAGAACTTCCAAAGTTCCAATTTTTATCAAATCAGAATCCAAATCGGAATCTGAGATTTGACATCTTGACAGTTGACATCGAAACTTGACAGTGACAGTGACAACCGTATGTACTTCTTATTGCTACCTTTGGACTAAAGTTTATTAGACCGGACCAAATCTTTAACTAAACCATAAGGGGTCGTGTACACGATGCGTGCCATAGAAATATTACGAGTTTGATTAGTGAGATTGGCAGTCGCTATGCCAATCACATGCCAATGCATGCTGTTGCTGCTGCTACTTACTAATGGCCGAAAAGGATGGCTGCCAATATTATAAAGTGATGAAGATGATATATAAAGCAATTTTTGCTCGATGAATTTAGGTAAATAAACAGGTATAAACTGATCTAAAGATATTAGCAATAGCTTAAAAGGCTATGTATCAAACCTGTTGAAACCAATGAAAAAAATACTAAAGAAACTAATCAAACAAAATGGCCGATGTTCTATAAAAATAGTTTTATGAGAATATTGAGAGTTTTATGGCAAATATAGTATGTATAAAGTTTATCAAATTATTATATATTGATTTCTTTATAAATATCTGTGTACAAAATATAAATTAACATGTGTTTAAAGAACGTTTATACTAATATTTTACTCAAATACAAGGGAAGCTATGTTACTTGTTTATTTATTCTTTGTTATACAGATATTGTTATTATCGTTGTATTTCTTAAAGATCATTTTATTTTTATAGTTAGATTCCTATAAGACTTGAATTACAACTGTTTGCAACACGGAAATAACTAGAGTTATGCTTGTGTTTACTTGGGCGCGTAATTGCGTTGTTTGTTTACGTTTCATGATATAGCAGTTTAAACATTGTTTTTCTCTAAATAAAACAATAACCAAAGTTTTTATTTCGTTTCCAGATACATATTGTTTTTAAATAATGTCTAAAAGAGATCCGTCAGATCGACATGGACATGACCGAAAGTTGGATCCGAGTGACTATGAAAACTTGATATCACAACATAATTTATTCGAGGCTTCACGATCAAAACACCAAGAACTACCAAGTTTTCCAGGATTTTCCAATGCTGAAACGCAAACGAAAAACAGTGATATAAAAGAACAGGCAGTGCACTCTGGTCTTGGGCCCTGGCATTACAACCCCTGGTGGGTGCTCGCTGGGGCCGCCGGCACTAGCACTGCAAGGGCCCTGCCGTCTCAAGACGGCTATTCAGAACACAGTGAACAAACTAAAGTGAAACAAGAGCCACCTGGTCCTGGGACTCCAGACAGGGACCCACTACAATCGGACTTGGAACAGTTTCAAGCAGAAACAGTTACACCTCCAGTTGGATTGGATTCTTTTTGTGATGACTGTTCAGACCCATTTTGTGACTCAAGTTCAGCAATATGTCGCAAATTATTCCACTGTCCCCACTGCCGAAAGAGCTACCCAACAATTTTAGAATTTAACACGCATTTGACAGGAGTTCATCCAGCACAAAAGCCTTTTCGATGTCAAATATGTTTGGAACCTTTTTATAAAAAATCACAGCTACGAAGACATCTGGATGCTAATCATACACGAAAAGATGTGAACAAATGCTCAGTGTGCTCCAAATATATTAAGGATAAGAGCAATTTACGTAAACACATGCAAGTACACACAGGTCGTGTACCTCAGAAACAATTCAAGTGTGATCTGTGCAACAACAAGCGCTACATGTCATTAGACAGACTTAACAATCATAAAGTGGTGTGCACAGGAGAGAAAGTTCTCAAGTACTGTGACATGTGCACTAAAGTTTTTGATAATTCAAGATCACTTAATAGCCACAAAAAAGTACATGCTAGGGAATTGAAGTGTGACAACTGTGGAGAACAATTGCGCTCATTAGAGCAATTTACAAATCATAAGATGATTTGTCAAGGAGCTACATCAGAAGCAAGCGCTAGCCATGGTCAAGCTAGTTCAGGACACGCTGGTATGCCAACCATGGGGCGCTGTTGCACTCAGCCTGGAATATGTGAACATGACAAGCCGGCCTACTTGAACATACCCGGATATGCGGCTGGTAGAGTGCTGGATGCCACTCTTTCCTCTTTGAAATCAGAGCTAAACTGATGACAATTGCCGCACTGGCTTACAAAGTAACTAATTAATTCATATTAAATTAAACAGTTTCTTTTTTTACAAGATTACCAAATAGATAAATAAATAAATGACAGTAATAATTTTCACAATATTGAGAATTTCACAAGACTGATGCAAATATCCCGCCTCACGACTTGCTTTATTATTACCATTTAAATTTAGGCTTTAGTTAGTAGGTAAATAAGAGTAAGTTACATATAGCCATTTGGACATGTTCTCATATATTAGGAAGGGAGTGGGTAATATATTTGAATATGCTTAAATTGTTATAACCACCTTTAAGTTTTAATTAAAATAAACCATAGCTGTTGATTGACAGTAAAATAGAACCAGATCATACATGCAACAATTTATTGTACGTTTATCAGATATATTTTTTTATAATTTGATATCTTTTCTATAACAATGCTTTTGACTGATTTAGAGTAAAGGTGAATGTGCAGTATTACAAACAAAAACAATTTTTATTTTTCTATTTTGGAGAAGTTATAGAGTATGTTATTTTTATAATTTTAGAACATAATATTTTAGTTTTATGTACCTAAGTTGTATGCTGTATCGGTCAGTGGAGATGTATGACGAGCGTATTATATTTTCTGGGGCTCTGATGTACATTTTTCCAAAGACAATTTATAATGTAGATGTGTGTAGTTTCGTATGCATATAATATATACGTGTATTTCGAATATTTTCTAAAGACATCTTTTATACACATCGCTGTAGAACATTAAGTTTGATAATGTTACACCTGTAGGATAAGTTAAACTTGGTGAAGTGCAATGTATCGTTGGCGAAGCCTTGTGCATGTTATGGTTATTGGAATTATGTATTTGTTGTGTTCTCCCTACCCATAATATTTATTCTTGAAGTGTTATACACTGAAAAATTATTGCTGCAATTTATAGAATTATATTATAATGTTTTTAAATATATAAACACAATATGTGTACACACACCTAATTATAAGATTCGAGGCTATAATATCTAAATCTAGTAAGCCTTTATTATGCTAATATTACGTCATAAGAGTTTATTACTATACTCTCAAATTTTATCTTATATACTTATATTTTTTTAAATCTTAATATTTCTAATTTTATTTATTTTGTTCATGTTATGTGGAAAGATGAGTACTTCAATCTGGAGGCTTTTTATTCATTATCCGTTGTTGCTATTTTTTTTTATTTACATTTGTTTTTAATACTAATAGCTTAGTTTATTTTAATATCTTTATCACTTAGTTACATAGTTTATATTTTGAAGAATTTTAATAAGTAAGTTTGTAAGTTCCATACAGGAATCTTGCTTATACAAGCCACCGAGAGAAAATATTGGGTTTATTATACCAAATTCGTTTTATAAAGTTAATAATACATAATATTATAATTTAGTTACTTAATGAACGGATGATTTTACGGCGTCTTGGTTGAATAATGTCTAGGTTAACATTTATGTTTAATTTTTATTGGTCCTTGGTAATCGCAATGCGTCTTGAGAAGTAAGGCAATGGAAGATAGAAGCAGTAAATTCACTTTCATGCATACTCCTTTTTACCCATACTACTAAGAAGGTGGGCAGATGGCGGTAGTTGAACGGTTTTTAAAAAGTTCTCTGTAATCTAGATGGTAATATTATTGTGCTATTTTGTATCAGTACATTCCTAAAAGGTAGGAAACAAGTAATAACTCTAAAACACTAATAGACGATCGAACCGTACCGTCAAATTTGTTCGGCGGTCCGGTGGAGTCCACTGAAAATGTGCGAGGGACCGCTACACACACTATCAAATATGGCCCGGAGCGGACAAAAGTGGCGGTTAGGTTCGACCGTCTATTTGTGTTTTTACTTGTATTACTTTGTATAAAAAAACGTATCGCCTTACTTCTCAAGAAGCTCCATAAATATCCATTGTAAGTTGGTTTGTTTCAAAGTTACGAGTCGGTGTAAATGACCGAAAATGTGTTCTTTAATTCAGTAATGTAAATTTAAATGTAAGTATTTTGAGCTGTACTGTTTATCTCGCGCTACTTAACGATTTCTCTATCAACACAAAATTGTTGTATAATCATCAACACTTAATGTAAACTTTTAGAGCGTCCTCGATTAGTTTTAAGTTACGACCGGGGCTTATAATCGAACTTATGAGTAACTTGCTCGGCGACTGACCAACTGAGTGTTGCAAAACCAACTGAGTTTACTGGTCATAGCTTACAACTAGTCAAATAAGCAGTTAATATCATTCAAAAAGTTCTAATAATAGTACTTAATTTAAAAAAGTAAATAACGCCGATCTTTTCTACATATTTTAAGCAGAACAGCTCCAAATAACTAATTTGCTAATTGCCACAAAGTTGTCAAGCGTCTTCTTATTGGCACTAACATTATCTGTAAGAAATTTAATCTAAAGAATATATTTTATTATGAAATATTCATAAGTTTAGTGTAGAGACGTCTTTAACATCAGGTACTGAACTTAAATATTGAGGGCGCGCGGAAATTGACAATAATATATTGTGTAATCTATCACAGAAACATTCATGGTCACTTTATATCGCCGCTTCGTCCTCATTATCGCTTGAATTTCACGAACTTCTGCTAGAGCTGCGTGTACTTACAATTCGGTAGGCATCACTTTACTATGAACCTATTCCACTTTACTGATGGCACAGAATTAGGATATTGAGACCACACCATTATTTCCTTTCAACATATACACTGAATCATGTTTGTTAGATGTTTAAAAATAGACGTCACGTTATAATTGTACCTGTAATGCTATGGAGAAACAATTATTGAGCAAAGCTTACATTGGACAGTAATGTTAAAAAAGTTTTCATTGATTTGTTCTAATGTTAATGTTTGAGTTTATATTGCATCAGATAGATAATACACCTCAAAATTTTTGTATCTGTGCATGTTTAGAGATGTAACAAAATTATACTACATTTATAATGTAATCACTTTATACATAATTATGAAAGTTATTACTTATTAGTGTATATCATTATTACGAGTATAGCCTAGACACCCGTTTGTAAACCAAAATTATCATCTAACCACCGACATTGTGACTGATTCTGCCATTTGTTTGGATTGATATTATACAGAAAATATATACCATTAGGTACCTAAATATTTGTCTTTGTAGTTTTTTAGCATGGTGTGTAACTTTTAATGCACCTAGACTTAAGAAAAAAAGATGTGTTCATATGAATTTAGTTAGGTACATAGATATAGTTCATCTATTTGATTAATGATTAGTAACGTAGACTGTAAAACAGTGTAATGTGAAACTATTCGAACGCATTGTTTTCCGACTATACCTTCCATTGCATACCTTGTCTAAGCCAAAATCATTTTTACTGTAGGACATGTTGTCGTACGGCACTTGTGGAAACCGATGCTGCCTTCGTTACATGCCCCGTTTATTTATTATGTACCTACCCTGTAGAACTTAGTTATTCAACGCAAGTTAAAAATAGCGTACCTAACGTTACTGAATACCACGAATAAATGACATTTCCTTTCTGTTAAAATATTTTATTATTTCTTAGACTTCCCCTTACTCTTATCACACGGGACTCAACTTGCCAAAGGAGGGTACCTATTACATTGAACTTGTGTATTGTTCATGTTCACCTCTACCTCCCCTTTTCGGAATTACAAGGTGTAATATTATGTTATTAGTCCATAAAATACCTACTACTATTTGCCAGATTGTAGTTCATAGCACTAGTTCGCCTATACGAAGCAAAGGGTTTCAGATTCAATTCCGTATCTGTCAATTCTTCGTCTTTATTTAATTTATCAGTATTATTAGAGACTTTAACCTGTCTTGTGTTTAAACGTGCATCCACGCGAGATTATTGTCACACAATGTATTTTCTACAGAGATGTGAATTATTTAAGATACAAGTATCTGAAATACAGATACAAGATACAAAATACGTATTTCGATCTTGTATCTGAAATACTTTATTAAAAAACCATTTTATATCTTGTATTTAAATACATTCGTTCTATATCTTAGTATTTGACAAATACTTTTTCCGATAAGATACTTTTAGAATTCTTTTTATCAATAAAGTGATCAGATTCTAAGCTGACATTTACAAAGGACGATGTTTTACAAAACCCAACATTGGCGTAAACGAAAAGAAATGAGTCAGTAACACAGCATTTTCTTGCATTTAGCCATCGATATCGATGATGATCCTGATGTAGCATTTATTAGGATCACACTAAAAATCTGAGATAAGTTTAATTTGCGGCAATTCTGGGTTTTTTTTTCAAACTTCGTGAGCATTGTCCTTTAAAATAAGGAAATTGGAATTCATTCAGTTGTTGTTTTCCTAGAAAAGTATTTTATCTTTAAAAAGTATTTTAAAGATACCTATCTTGTATCTAGTATTTCAGATACCAATGTCAATAGTATTTTGTATCTGGTATCTAAAATACTTAATTTTAAAGTATCTTGCATTTTGTATTTCAGATATTTTGTATTGGGTATTTTGTACATCACTGATTTTCTATTGTGTCTCATATCGATGCATTCAAGCGGTAAGACCGTCGCACTACTAGAGAGTCCTTAAAACTGATGAAAAGTGGGTGTTACAGAAAGTCTTATGTTTACGAATTAAAAAAAGCTGATCATTTGTACAAAACAATTTATTTTTAAAATCTTCCAATTTTCAAGTTTTTCCATTATATTACAACTCGGCCCCTCTTGATTGACGTCTTTATAATTTTAGACTTCTTTTCTTTCTTCTTTTTGGCAATATTTTCTGATCTCTTCTTTTGCCTTTCTGTTTTCTTCTGTTCAACATTTTGAACTCTAGTGTCCCATTGTTTCTTACTTTGCTTTTTCTTTTGGTCCTATAATAAAAAGTTATCAATGTTAGCAATAATGACTCAGAACAATAAGCATCCAAAAATATTTATGTGACCAGTGATGGAAGTCTCGACAATGATTGCGACGTATACAAAAGATATTCACAACTTAGCGATCAAATAATGTCGTTATCAATGTCGAGACTACCGACCCCATAGAGTCTCTAATTCTCAGTTATCAAATAGAAATGTAGTTAAAAACATGGAAATCTTACCATTTTCTTAATAGTCTTCTTCAGTAATATAGGGTCATCTTTCACTTTCTGTCCTTCAGCTTTCTGCAGTACATTTTTCCAAGCAATCTTTTCTTTGATTTCTTTCACTTTATTACTATCTTCTTTTTCTTCCAATTGTTTTAGACGTTCTTCCTGTTGTTTAAGATTTTCCAAAATCTTTTTGGGATCTCTTTCTGCTTTATTTTGCCTCTCTGTAAAAATGTTGACAATAATATTGTAATAGAACAAGATTAGCATTTTTATCTCCCTTTTATAATTGAAAACTGAGTCCTAAGCTTATTTGATTCAATGATTTAAGGTTGGTGTCGATCCTAAGTTACCAATTAGAGTTGTAAAATTAGGCAACATTTACAAGAACTTTTGACTAGTATTACTTGAAAAAGTATTGTTTTATCTAAATATCTCTATCTAGGTATAGCTGAATAATAATTTAGAAATAGATAAAAATTACCTCTCTTGCCAACATTAGCAAAGTCAAACTTGGAGAACACAAGTTTTCCTTCATTGTTAAACACTGGTTTAGCAATGTTCGGTTTTGGTTTCTCCTCAACACTGGCCTTCAGCATGTCAGCAAACGGTTTGTCCACTACAGGTTTAACCTTCGCCTTAACTCTTTCTGTCTTCTTAATCTTCTTATTCAATTTACTACTTAAGCTTTTCTTTTGTAATTTATTTTTGAAACTGAACTTATTCTGTGATTTGATTTTTTCTAACTTTTCTTCAAGTTCTGCTATACTGCGAGCTCTTTTTGGCATTTCAACATCTTCGTTACTCTTTTGATTTTCATTTACAATTTCAATGTCCATGTTGTCTTCGTTTTCACCTGAAATTATAATAAGAGTTAGTGACAAATAGACTTACACTGTGTCACCCAGAGCTTTTCATCACAGTGTGGAAAGAAAACAGTAGCCTTGGCACTACTATCTCCAGACACATCAATAAATAAAATGATCCAATTGCAATGTGAAAGTAGGACATACAAGCACTTTCGTAATTATTTATAGCATTCAGTATTAGTAAAAATAGTAAAAAGTTACCTTTCATCTGCAGCGGTAAAGACATTACAGAAAATACATTTTTCAAAAATGTAAATTCTTTATTTAATTCTTCTTTGATCTTTTTTATTTTCGGTATTTTCTTCTGTTGTGTCATTGTGCTCTTTTATATTATAGGTACTGGATCTGAAAACTATATATTACACAATTTGATTCAATCACATATGCAACAAAGCTATTCGCAAGCTAAGCAGCATGAGCTTCGCAATAGAAATTTTAAAGTACAACAGTAAGTTGAAAATTCTTTTAATGCCAAATGGTCGATTGCATTTAAGCATAAACTCATGAAGCTATACTTAAAATAACGATCAAGTGTAACTTTATCACGATATTATTCATAATCATGTGGTAAATCAAACACCTCACATAACATCGAGAAATCGTGGAGAAAGAACTAAATATTTCTATAGCCTACTTTTTTTTAATATTAGTGGGCTCGAACGCTTGATAAACACTAAAATAAATGAACTTTAACAAAGTATTTTTAAAAACGTTGGATATTTAAGTCAGTGGTAAATACACTATCGTTAGGCTTTATCATTACAGTTTCAATAAACGCCAAAGAATATTATACAAAGAGTATACTTGCCTGTAACTAATTTCGTAGTTATTTTATCACTGCGTTCTAATATTAATTAAGAAATTGAATTCTGAAAACAAACACGATTCACGATCACGAGTAAACATAACCTCTCAAAAAGTCTCGCATTCAAGTACGATTCAAAATTCAAGTGTCCCTGGTGAAACTTCATCTGTCGTTTTACTACTAAACGTCAAATATAAAATATGCCATTCACTGGTCCACTCGATTCTTGACTTGCTTTATTTATGGGACCAACTAGTACATTCGCATATAACTATATTGAATTCAATGTTTGCGATTAGTCTCTAAAAATACAAATATGTGTTAGAAAGGTGAAAACTCATGCTGCTACACGTTCAATATTTCTAATTAAGTTTACTCATTTCTCGTAACATAAAACAGATCAGGGATCATTTTGTCTATGAAACTGAAAATTCATGTTGACATTCACTATTGACATATTTATCAACAAGTACAAAAATTTCAGGTTATTTTCAGGACAGTTGAATTCATTATACAACTTTGACTTTGTTATAAAAAGCTGACTGGCAAATATTTAGTATAGTTTATTTCACGCGGTAAACAAATAAATAAAATAACTATAAAAATGCGTTCTTCTTTTAGAATAATAAGATGTTATACCACTGCAGCTAATAGTAACAATTTTGCAGAAGAAATGAAGAAAAACTTTATTGCTACAAACTCATTTCAGAAAGCAATATTAACAGTTGGTTCAGCAGCTATATCTCTGTTAAATCCTCATCGAGGCGATATGATCGCATGTTTAGGTGAAGTGACTGGAGAAAGAGCTCTAATACACATGCAACAAAAAATATCTGAGACGCAGGAAGGTTCTGAAATACTTAAAGAGAAGCCGCGCATAAATTCTAAAACTGTTTGTTTTGATAAACTTGCTGAAATGCCAGAAAACACACTAGGCCGTGTTTACGCCGATTTTATGACCGCCAATAATATTACGGCTGATTCTCGTTTACCAGTTCAGTTTATTGAAGACCCTGAGTTAGCGTATGTGATGCAACGTTACAGAGAAGTACACGATTTGGTTCATGCTACTTTGTTTATGAGAACAACCATGCTAGGAGAGGTAAACATTAGCAATTTATTTTTATTTTTAACAATTTATTTTTCTTCTCTACAGAATTATTACATCCTATTTTGTGCTATTCAAGGTTACAGTCAAATGGGTTGAAGGTATACAAACACAGCTGCCTATGTGCATCAATGGTGGGATATGGGGAGCAGGCCGACTAAAGCCAAAGCATCGCCTGTTATATCTAAAATATTACTTGCCATGGGCCATCAAAACTGGAAACAATGCCAAGTTTATGCAAGGTATAAAATTGATTAAGAAGTAATCTAACTTACTTCTGTTTTTGTATAGCAATCAAGTAATAAAATGAAACATTTACAGGTATTTACTTTGAAAAAAGATGGGACCAAGACATAGATGACTTTCACAAAGAAATGAATATTGTGCGACTGATGAAGAAATAATTTGCTGTTGTAAATTAATAATTATTTATAGTATAGCTTAATTCTGTAGTAATAGCGACTGTGATGTGTGGAATTTGTTAAGAACAGTTAAACTTGTTGAAAATAAATAATTTGAACAAAAAAAATAAACTTTTATTTTTATTACCGAATACAAAATGTCTTTTATTTTCTATTATAAATCTGAAATCACTGTCACAATTTCATTTCTGAACTTCTGCCATTAGGGTTGTGCAGGGTAGTGGAACGGTTGCCCACTTCCACTATCCATTCGTACCACACTTTGCGGGAATCGGTGCAGCGCCAAAATCTTGCTGTTATTGTTTCACCTTTGTGTACACGAAGGGGTGTCTGGAAATATTGAACAGGTTTAGTATTGGCATAGAAATATTTCTACAGATTATACACTTTTTTATAATATTGTAAATACCTTTATTGGAATGAACACTGGGAACCATGATATCATTCCCGGACTGTGTGTGGAAGGTACTATGCTAATCATTTCTTTTCCATACAAGGTGCAATCAAAGTATCCTCCAAATCCATGCATCACATTATCTTGTTGGACTTCCCAAGTTATTACTTCTTGTCTTCTATTGTCTGTCTCGGGCAATCCTCTGTAATCCACCGATTCCTGTCCTTCATGGTCCCTTACACCTTTTGCAGGATGATCAAATGTGAAAACAAGCTAAAAGTAAATGAAATCATTTTAAATAATTCGTCCCCAATTGTTATTGAACTAGTCATAAATACCTAGTTACATAATAGTGAGGTTGCATACCTTTGTCTCAGCAATATCATGTTTATTCTGCATATAAACCACCCATAGAGTTTCCAGATTTTTATCTTTATGATTGGACTGAGCAACAGAGGAAGCAACTTTAGCTGCTGCCCATAAACGAGGTGATGAAATGGGTGCCACATAAGATCTGTATTGACAAGGTATTGATATACCTCCTGGCTTCAGGAGGCCTGCAGCCCCATCCAAACATTCCGGAGATAATTCATTATCACCCCATGATCCTGTAAATTAAACATTTATTAATATGAATTGAACAATTTTTTTTAAGATTTGTGAAAATACATATTATTTTACTTGTATACCTAGCAATTCTGAAACAATGATGTCAGCCTTTGGTGATAGATTGATCTGCCTCATGTCACCAGGTATGACGACAACATCCCTGTCTCGCCATACCTCACGTACTTGAGCTGCTAACACTACCACAGCACAAGGATTCTTTTCCACAGCTACGACCTGTAACCAACCAGTACATAAACTTCAACAATTTTCAACATTTCAACTACCTGTATGATAAAGCAAAATCAAATTGTGCCTAGTGCATCGCAATAAGTTCACAGTTCATTCTTACAAGGAACTTCAACATAGCTGGTGAAAAGTAAGTGCTGTATTGCAAACATGCACCACTTCCTACCCCTCTGGGTAAGAGTGATGACTGCGTGTTATGTCATACACAACAAAATCAATGATGAATGGAAATTTGTTAATTATGGCAAGAATTTATTTACCTTAACTTTACTATTTGTAATATCAGCTGCATTTAGTGTAGCTCTCACTAATGGTCCTCTTCCAGCTCCTAGCACCATCACTGTATATGTTTTCTTTTTGCTATCCACATTATCACCTTGTCCCACCTCTTCTGCGTTTGCTGTACCAACATCAGTATTAATCTGTAAAAATTTATAATATTAATAATAGTAAACAACCATTGCTTTAATTTTTTATGAATTTTATTGTGGGTAATTTGCACATACCACATTATATGGTCCCTTTTGCAAATCAGTCAAAGCTTGTGCAATAGCTTTTTGGTATTGGTCATATTTGATTGGATCCTTTTCAAAAACATTATAAGTATGTGTGTCCAAATTATCTGCTAAAGGTTGAAGTGGTGTCTGTAGGTAATCTTCCCACCTAGAAAAGCGACCAAATTATTAAATTATTTTAATTATGTTTAACACAATACTTGACAAACGCTTCAGTCAATTGATATAAACCTGCAATTATTTAATAGAAACATACCCTCTAGCATAACTTAACATAGGATCATCGCCTAAGTAAGGTTTTCGCTTCCAGATCCTGTACATAAACTGGATGTAGTGCTCTACATTGGACCTTCTAGCCCCTGTCACTAGGACCTGAGCCTCATGCTCAATTAAACTTATTACCAACTGTTGATGAGCCCGTGATATCACTGGAAATCTAAAACAATAATATTATGATGATGTAGATGATAGATCTAAGGAATTTCTTGGAATTAGATTTTAAATTTTAGCCAATGAACAAACAGTGAACAAAGATACTGTACCTATTTTTCAATTATTACAAATCAATATTTAAAAAACAAAGAGAAAGTATAGGTTGAACATACATACCCTTTCTTGTTGGTAGAGAAAAGAGATGTAGGTATAACAACCACCTTCACAGGTTCGCCTAACCATCTTTTTATCACATCTTCGGGTGGCAAATCAGCTGAAAGTTCCAGGGCTACTGCCACACGCTTGTCGTACTCCAAGCGTTCATGGAACTTGGACCACCACAGCCAAGGCTCATTGAAGGGGGCAGCCTCATCCCCTTCATTTCCACATTCTTTCAATGTTTTACTACACAACATTGGTACTCGGGCCCATATTAAAGAAGGATGATGACTGAAATAAATGTAGTGTTTGTTTAATTATATGGTCCTAGTATCAGAAACACAATATTTGCTTATTATTTTACTGATTTTCTACTTAACCAAAAGTTGAATTAGAAAAAATACCACATGGCGTTAAGTCTGCATTATAGACCATTAACTCGTCGAGTAACGGTTTTATAGACACAATTAAAGAACAATAGGTCGCGGTCACCGGTGACCGCTTGGTGTTTGACAGTTTAATTTTGTATGTGCATTAAAGTGTAAGTAAATAAATTGAATGAATATTATTTAAAAACAGAGAACGAGAAATTTACTAACCTCGAATCAAAATATGTATTGAGAATTCTAGTTAAGTTATTAGATTCTCTACCATGAACAGACACCATAATAGCTGGCAGACCAAGACCTTTACAGTAATTTAGTTCTTCATTCATGATGTCTTCATGACGTTGCCGGACGATCGGGGACTGGGAATCCACGTTCAGGTAAGGGGACAACCTTCCTACTACCCTTGTAGTCCAGTCATTAGGGGACAGGGTCATATCTGATCTTGTAAAGCCACCAACCTTACCGGGACCTGTGCAAGGTCTCCGAAATCGTGGATGGACTACTGGTGTGACTACAAAAGAGTAATTACTGCGCAAAGCCTCCGTTAAACATGCTTGTATATCTGGAGTACACGTATATTCCAAGCCACAGGAAAGATCGTGTTGAGACATTGTGGAACTGTTTTTTACCGTCGGCTATTCTACTTGTGGAAATTTGAACGTTCAATTAAAATTTAAATAAATCTAACCACTAACTAAAAAGTAGTATGCGGCGACCCAGACGAAGGCCGCTTTTAATTTGACAGCTGACACACTGACACAGTCAAGTGATTGAAAAAAGAATCGATATTTCGATTATTTCGGTGTTTTTAAAACCTGTAAGATTACCAACATAAAAAAATCTTTAGATTATTTGTCTGACAGAACCATAGACTTAAAATAAGCAGACCAAACACTAATTCATATACCTATAATATTGTTATATTTACCTCACAGACTTCCAATCGTAGACAGAAAATAGAGATAGATAATATGCTCTTATTTGCGAAAATGAGATGACACATGTGTCGCATGCAAAATCGTGAAGCGTTCCACATTAAAAAAAATATATATAATGTGTATATTTTTATTATAAATTATTGTCTTTCTCAGAAAATTATAAAAAAATTTACAAGTTTTTTTGTATAAAAAAATTAATGTATTAAAAAATATGATTTTTTAGATCATTGGCTCAAGATTAGATTCTTCACTCGGACAAAAAAAATATTGACTAGTTTTATTTTACAAAATTTGTACTTGGGCAACTAATTGTCGGCAACCAAGTCAACCCTAGTAGGTATTTGTTCTGGAGTTTGTCTATAGATACCACAATTCCGTGGCTAGTATGAATATAATTGATATCCTAATAAATTATGATCTTGTATCCTAATATGTCGTGGTGGCCCGGAGGTTTAAGAACCCACTTTTCATGCACGAGGATGGGGGTTCGAAACCTACCAACGGCAAGTATCAATATGACTTTTTCCGAGTCATATGTACTTTCTAAGATTATCTAGACACAACTGACAAAAGATGATGGAAAACATCGTAGTTTCCTCACGGCTCTAGGCTTATTATTTCTAATTATAGGTCGACAACCCGCATAGAGCAAGCGTGATGATTAAGATGCTCAAACCTTCTCCGTGTGAGAAGAGGCTATGCTCAGTAGTGGGTACTTATAGGTTGTTGATGATCCCAAAAACACGCTTAACTCTACGTAGGTAGAGCTAATATTGTCCTTTATTTCTGTGTGTTTAGGCTTCACAAATTTTAGCTAATATTTGGTCTATTTTAAGTCTATGACTTAGACCTCGGAGTTTACATATCATGAAATAAGTTTATTATTGTAATTTTGTAACCTATTTACTGAATGGGGGCTATAATTTTTTTGGCTCATCCTATGGCCCTAATATATAAATAGGTATTTTTTTCCAATCATTGTTGCTTGGTTAAAACTTGAATGTCCATTTTTTATTAGACGAAGAACGAGAGGTGAGAGAAGTGGCGCCATCTGGTGAACAAAAATAATATAACGTATCATCATGCCTTTTTATCCCTGAAGGGGTAGACAGAGGTGCACATTACAGCAATTAATGCCACTATACAATATAACACCCAGTTTTCACTATTCATGCTATAAGAGTCTCATCATGAGACCCATGTAGTGCCCTGGTGAGCCTTTTGCCATATATCGGGCACAATTCCAGACTCCGCGCTACCTAATGAGAATTAAAAAAAAACCAGTAATACTTTGCCCGACCCGGGAATCAAACCCGAGACCCCTTGCCAGTCTCAGTCAACATATTATTTATTTATTTATTAAAACTTTATTGCACATACAGTGAAATTGGCGGACCTAATGCCGAAGGCATTTTCTGACAGTCGACCATTGGGTGGTGCAGAATGTTATTATGTTTTTTATTTTGGACTTGGTTACAAATAAACCATCGGAAAGCCAGACAAACACAGTTGATAAAAAGGTATGGGCTTTGTTATTCAGGGTTTTCATACCACTCACTAGCCCATTATTATTGTAGTAAGTAGTAGCAAAACGCTAGCGTGGACGTCGCAGACAGATCCGATCTTAAATCGAATGATGGATTTAACAGATTTGATTATCCTTATATAATATAATTAGCTTTAACGGAACGGCGCGACTGCCGGGCATAGGGTCTCGGATTCGATTCCTGGATCGGCCAAAGTACTATTGGGTTTTAAAAAATACTATAAAGTGCCCGGTATTATATGAGTGTTGGATTGAATAATACAGAGCCATAGATTGATTATTTGGATTGGAATTTGACATGAGCAAGCAGAAAGAAAAGTGGCACTACTCACATCCATTCGTATTATGTTGGTATTGTGATTATTGATTATGGCACTTTGTGACATGACACTTGACAGTGACTTACCGTATATTTATTAACTCTTTGACAGTGACACTTGACAGTGATGAAATATCAATAACCTTTGCAATTTTGCATTCTTGAAATACTTTAGTATAAAATTCAATTATTTTAACACAAACAGTGCTAGTTTCAAATTAAACATTCTCATTACTTTGCGAAAAAATATTAAATCCTAACTTAATAGGTAGCTTAACATACGAACGTATAAAAACGTATTTGATTTGTTTACTAATACAGAGTTTCCGACTTTATTTACTAAAACTATTCTGCAATCATGGATGAGAAGAACCCACTACAGATTAGTAAAACTCCATCTCAGGCGCCAGAGTCGAAAGAAGTAAATAAAAGAGGGAGACCTGCTGTAAAAAATATTGTTATGTTTGGCCCGCAACCTCGATCTATAATGGCTCAAATGTTATCGGAAGCTAAGAAATCTAAAACTATTGTAACTGAAGATAAGCCTGTAATTCAATCTGAACAAGAAACATCACAAGATGTAGTTGAAATCATTGTTTCATGTGATCCAATTGAGGAACACAGGTAATAACTTCACAAAAAAATAGTCAACATAGTTTAGAGACAATTTGAACCAACCAACCCATTAATTAAATCTGTGTTTATGCAGTCTTCCGACCTAGCTATGCGCTAAGCAGGTACCTATCAGCAGTAACACCAGGAGTATTTATTCCACACAGGTGCTAGATATCTAGGAACTAAGAAAGAGCAAAATAAAACTATGCTTTATTTTTCCAGGAGCTTCAATATAGATGATGACACAAAGCATCAAACTTCAAATCAAAAACTAGAATGTGACTACCCCAACTGTGGTTATTCATGCAAATTATCCTCAAATTTAATCAAACACAAAAGAGTTCATACGAATGAAAAGCCCTATTTGTGTGACAGATGTTCATTTAGGACAAATTTTGTAAATTCTTTAAAAGCTCATAAAAGGATACATACAGCAGAGAAACCTTACCAATGTGAATATTGTCCGTACAAATGTAATAGCAGTTCTAATTTGAAAAAACATTGTCTTCTTAAACACTCTGAAGGAGACAAGAGTAATGAAAAATAATCTTAATGCCAATTTTTTTAAGACTGTAATGTTATATTTTAAGTAGTGATAAGGAAAGCAAAAAGACCGTATGTGTAAGAATTTATTAGTGTTGGAGTAAGATAAGAGATTGATTTTTATTGTTATTATTTATTGGTAATTATTAGATAAGTACTTGTGATTATAAACTTTTACAGATACTGTTGACTTGCTTGTATAGTACCCGGTATGTAATTTATCAAGATTTTGCCATAGGAAAGGTGAGTTTGTATGTCTACTAATTATTTCTTTATTTGATTGTTATGTTTTTCGGCTTACTCGTGTAATTATTTGACAAGGAACTCTACTGGTTTCAAGCCATGCTAGAGGCTCATTTCCATGAGCAGCATTTCGTAACCCGCGACGCGGCGACTGTCGCGCTACTACTGGCTAGTCGAGTCTATGGTGTGTAACCCCTGTGTTAGGTGGGTAAGCCGAAAAACATATTGATTAATTTAGTATGTCTCACAACAGTTATACTATTACTTATTCCACACTTTCATTTTTAACACAAATTCCTTTTCTTATTCTAACTTTAACTTTCTTCCATTAATTAATAATAATTTTTAATTTATTTATTCATTCAGATAATACAATCCATATGGTTAGTAAAGACATCTACAACTTATAAACTAGTATTAGTACATCAAACCTCATCATATAAAATTAAAATAATTTGTCATAATATGTAATCTAATGACAATTTAGCAACAATACTGCTGACTTTCATAATTAATAGATGTGATTTAAACTAAATGATATAAATCCATAAAATTTTTTAAACAAAATTTAAAATTATAATAAAATATGTGAATATTTGTATAATAACTTTCGCGAGACATACTACTTTAATTAAAAATATATGAGTATTTAATCATTATTTTTGTGCACAAACCTATCTTTGCACTTGCCAGGCTAGTTGGCCTGCTAGGACAAAACCTTTCCAAGTTGTGTGCCGGGTAATATAATTGCAATAAAACATAGTTGTTGGAAGGAATAGTAATGAAAGAAATAAACAAAGTCATGTCCAAAGCATTATATTGTTTACAATTACCTAAGTATATAGTATATGATCCTAAAAAGTATATTATAATAACTGGTATAAATGTTGCCCAAAGTACTTACATCAAGGCTTTCCTCTTAAAACATGATAAATACTCCATATTTGTATATATTTTGAGCTCAAACAACAAGATATAACATGAATAACAAAAATAAATTCAAGAAAAAATAATACTAGTCTGGCTCACAAATCGTAGGTGTGTCAATGTGTATCAATGGCAATGTTCTGTAAAGTCTACTACAACAGATTCTCGCCATCCAAAGAGGAAGTAACCAGTCGCTGAGCCCAGGACCACTGCAGCACATAACCACGTGTTGTAGGACATGAACACCAGCATCAACATATAACTCACTAAAACTTGCAATCCATGAAGCACTGTCTGCCACGCGTGCGCTGTGCTCAACATTGTAGGACTGAAATTATTAAAACATTGTTTAATACACTTGTCATAATCTAATGAATAATGTTTTCTTTCAAGTGATCTAAATACTTACACATTTCTTTCAAGGACATGGGGCACCGGCCTTAAAAAGAACACATATTTTGTTAGTAAATAGAGTACAAGTTAATCAAACATACCCAAAATACAGACATAATACTTCAACAAAAGATATTTTACTGGGAAAAACAATTGTGTCAATTCACTATTATACGCATACAGTCAATTGAAAGATAGGTACAACAAGTAATTAGTCCCGGGTATGGAACATTGATCTACGTGAGACAATGTATTTTTACTGTGTCTCATGTATCGACAGTCAAGAAGTTAATATAAAGTTTTATCCCATATCTATTATAAAAGTTATGAAGTAAGTTAATGCCCAAATAAGTGTTAGTATTTTCATATGATCACAAACTAAGTATGCCCAAACAAATTGGTTCAGTTACAAATAAAAGATTTTAAAGCAGTAACACAACTAAGAATACCAAGGATGTTTATCAATGAATTAACTACCGTTAGGTATAAAATAAGAAAATGTATAATTTAATAAATATGCGGCAATGCATAATCAAATAACATTTAACCATTCACTTCAAGCTTCGTTAGGTGCACATCCATAGAAATTCAAATTTTACGCATCGGAAACTTAATGTGTGTCCTTTTAGACACAGTTTCTCGTTATTGTTACGGCATATCTAATTACTGTTTTCTTAGAGTAATTATGTAAATGTTTAATGTTATGGTTACATTACAAATAGTAAGGAATAGCAGCGCCATGAGTCACGATCCGATTTAGTACTAAGATAGGACAGAGATGAATCGAGGACGTCATAATAATGTTGTAAATGCGAAAGTAACTCTGTCTGACTAACAGACAAGTAAGTTATTCACGCCTGAACTACTACATAGATTAAGATGAAATTTAGTTTAAGTAGGTACAGCGTTAATCCCAATGTAAAGTTGAGAAAGTCCTGTAGGATAATTTACCGAATTCGGTAACCGCACAAGAAATTTATCGAATTTGAAAACCGCAAAAGCTTGATTTTTATGCACCCAAAAGAAATTAGTTTGTGTATTAAATAATTTAGCAAACACTGTAACTTAACTACATCCACATTTAGTCATATTAGATATAAAAATGTTCTGTTTAATCTATGGATTTTATGTGTTTTAGATCCGGTAAAAACTTAAGGCCGAATTATTTGATAGGGCAAATGAACTACTTGGCAAACAAATTGTATATTTTCATAGTAATTAAATAAAATTTTACTCAACTGTATAACTTGCGGCTCATCTGGAGCGCATAGATTTGCTACACCTTTGTCTGGTGGTGATACTGCACAATATTGAAGCCCTGTATACGTTTTCCATAGTAAGTGTTTTCTGTAGTATTTTAAGCTGAAACAACATAGTTTAGATTATTTACAACGTTAAGAATAATGTTAGTAGTGACAAATTTGTGATGGGTACGCAAAAAGGTACCCTCTTTTTGCAAAGACTTATACAAACTATGCATATATAGTAAACTAGAAGTTTCTATATACGCATAGTTATAACTAGAAAATTATTCGCTCAAACTAATATATAAAAAAGACAACTAGGTAAGTACCTATATTTTTTTCTACTAAGGTAAGTACTAGCTGTCAAAAAGCTTACTTGATATAATAATTCAAAAGATGGAATGATGTAAAATAAAAATAAACTTATTTATCCTTACCCTTCATAAAGTAAAGCCATTAAGAATACTGCAAAGAAAGATCCTATGAACTCTCCAATGTCTGTTACTTTCCACCATGAAAAGAGAATGACTTCATTATAACCTCCGTGAAACTAAAAATAAAACGTGGAATGTTACATAATTATACATTAGATACATATCTTTTTGATGATTGAAATGAAAGTCATAAAGTTAAGAACATGCATAAGGACATAAAAACAGTAGTGTAGTGATCTGGTATAAGTAAATAAAGAATTAGGTAATGTTGCAATAAGCAATACTTAGAAGGTAACTAGCAACCTAATTAGAATTACCTAATGAAATTGAATTAATATTAAAGATAAGACCAGTTTGGGTGATGCTCTAATTTAAAAGAAGCCTGATTGAAAATTAAATAATGAAATCATTAACGAGACTAAAAGCCCGTTCGCACACGAAGCGTATTGATAGCGATACGCTTCGAATAGACGAGGAGTAGCGAAAGCGCATCGTCTTCAAAAACAATAGAAGCGTGGCGTAAGTATAGCGTATTCTTAGTAAATACGGTACGTTTGGTATGCGAATGGGCCAATTTAACAGTTTCAAATCTTTAACGCAAAGCTTGGTAAATTAGTTACTAGGAAATGGAATAAGAAGTGATATTATGGTTATTACAGTCATAGCCATGTCATGACCTCCAGCGTGTTCGCCCATGCCGTGACCTTCATGTCCGCCGTGTCCTTGATGTTGTGCATGTATTCTTAAATCTGATTTATAGTCTATGCTGTCATCACTGCCGTTAAAAGTGTTCTGAAAAAGAAAACGAGTATTATCATCTAGGAGAAAGAAACAGCGGGTACCGACTAGCGATAGTATAGGTGATTTCAGTTCATGGTCAAAGACGGATTTTGATTCTCATCAGTGAGTGTAGAAATAAGTCTTCACTTCCGATATGAATAAGGCATCGTTAACACAAATGTCCTCCAGCATAGTTTTACATTTCATATATTATTTAACATCTCGTTCAGACCAAACCGACTACATACGTTATTACGTAATGTGTGAGTGAGCATACTCACAGTCGAGGGTGGACAATACGTTTGATGTGAACGTTACCTAAGAGGGAATTAGCCTAGCGCAGTACCTAATAGGTAGTCCCCTCTAACAGAGCCTAATGCTGTATCCTAAAGTGACATTTTCTCCCAACTGTTCACTTCTGATTGGCACTAGAGAGGGGACAACGCGGTCAATATTTTTTATCTCAATAAGTAATTATTGTCACCCTAGCTAGACGCTAGCGTGACACTTCAATTGCTAAGATTGAAAACAATCGTGCAATTGACCCTTTGTAAATTATACGTCAGATCCAGAATCAGCGAAGTGTTTCGAGAAAAGGTAGGTTGGTCTTTGTTCTTGGGTCTCTTTACAGATTCAATAGGTAGGTAATGATTGTTTAACATAAAGTGCAGTTGAACTGTGAATGACTCAATCATTGTGCGTACGCAGAAAGCTTTACTAGCAGTTGTTGATAAACAATTGTACTGCGCGTCTGACACAATAGTATGAAAATTAGATTTATAGTTCATATCCTAAAGGCTCAATTTCCGACAACAACGCCTTGATTGGCATTCAATTAACAATGCGGATATAATCAGTATTTGTCTCTAATGGCGTATTAACGGCGAGTGTGGAATTTAGTGTAGAAAGTGGTACTTTAAAATCAAGTTCAATACGTATATTGTTAGGTACTTAAATGCATACAAATATATTGGTTCCGGCGCCAACGCATAGGGGCTCCGACGATGGTCCGATTCCAGATGAACTGGGACAAGGGGAGGTAGAAGAAAATACTAAACCACACACTACACCGTTTATTAATCGAAAGGGTTTCCCCAGTTAAGTCGTAACTCCCGTGTAATGAGGGGCGAGCATAATTTTGCCGTGTACTGGGCTTCATTCAGTCTCTGTGCCTAAACCTATTACTAATCTTCAAAAACCCAATAATAATTTGCCCAGCACGGGGAACACCCATGTGGCCCATTGAAGCTGATTGTTTCAATAAAGTTAAAATATGTAATGATGTCATTGTGTTTATGCAGGTGAAAGATAGGTAATATACCCACAATAACAATTTCAAGGTATTGTATTGATATGAGATAAATTGCAGAAAACAAGACAAATAAAATTACAAGGTTAATATATATACAGGCTGTCCCTGGAAGTATGGATCAAATGGAACAGGGTCATAGAGGAGGTCATTCCCGAACTATTCAGATTCTTAAGGGTACAAAAGTTATGACCAGTTGTAGTTTTATTCAATGATTTTCCAATATGCTTAAAGAAGCGATCACAAACAGAAAACTATCTGAGGTATCAATGTTATTTTTATTTTTAGACTTTCTACAAGAGTGGACCTTTCTTATCACTATGTTTTTACTTGGTAAAATAACATGCATTTAATAAAAAAATGCGTCAAATTGTTTTACCGAGTAAAAGTATCGCTATAAAAAAAACAACACGGTTCAAAAAAGTATCAAACAAGACAATTTTCTTGTGCATTCTGGCATACGTTCTACAGTACATAACAATGGTATACGACCACGGCTATCTTCTAGAAAAAGTTTGGTGTTTGTTACTTTTTAGAGAGTGTTTTTTTGGTAAAGTACAAATAACTAAAATATACTATGGCAATCCAATTAAACCGTACAGCACTAGACCAGCACCGTTTCAAACAAAGTAATATTGGATCGTTAAGAATCAGAACTCTATTCCCAGACCAAAAAGTTTGGGAATGACCTCCTCTATTCGATTTGATACACACTTCTAGGGAAACCTGTATAACTGGAAATTATTTTATGCTTGTTGTTATAATTACAAGTGAAATAGCTGAAAACAAAATAGACTTAAAAACATATTTTGGAACTGGGTGTATTTTCATTTTCACCCGACTGTTTTATAAGCTGCTTTTGGGTTTTAGGATTTCAAAGAAGCATAGAAGCATGGAGGCAGGAACATTGCCCAGTGTAGGGAATAGGTTTGCCTTCTTTTTTGTCGAATAGGGCAGCAAATGGGTAAGTATAGGGATCGCCTGATGGTAAGCAATCTACGTTTTCCATAAACACCCGCTACAAGTTCGTTGCCGACGTTTTGAGGATTGCGGAAGGGGGGAAGGGAGGATTGTGCCTACGCGACTTCATTCACGTGCCGAAAAAAAGCGTCGTTTCATGCTAGTCGTTTATGAGGTCATGGTATCACTGTTGTCGATCCCACCCATTTGGGCATAAGCATGGTTCTCCTACACTATTATTTGAGATTGATAACACAGTTGGCGAAAACTGAGGGACTAGACTAGCCTTTCGGGAAAAAAATCAAAACTAGAGAACAAGGGCCAGAGAGTAATGTCCACAGATAAATGTCCTAAGTACCACAAAGGGCAGTTGTAAGTGAAATAATGGTATCAAACTCATCAATGGCCATTTATTTGAATGTTTTAATAGAAAAGTTTATAAATAAAATATAATACACTTACTGTTATGATGTCATCTTGAAATGAGGAATTCATTGACATATCGTGGTCTGCTGCTGGCATCATATGGTTCATGTTCATATGATTACCATGTTCATGATGTGCATGTCCCATGCTCATGTGAGCGTCCATTTCTGCAAGATAAAAATATTATAGATATATAGTTATTATCTGAACCTTGCATATTGATTACAGGTATAATATTTTATTAGCCATAACACACATAGATGACACACCCGTTTAATAAAAGTGGGTGTAAGTACTAAATTTTATCTTTATCAACATAAATGTTCCATTCTCAGAACAAACATAAATGTATAAACTAATAATTTTTGTTTGTTTGTTAAATAATGGATAATAAAAACTGCTGTACAATTTTTCATACTATTTTAAACATAGATAGGCTATGATTTGCAATGAAAGATTTTTTCTAATGCATTGCTAGTACAATAATAACTTGAACAAGGTGTTTTATCAACTGCTAGATGTTTTAAAACTATGGCATCAGACAGTTGAAGCAATGGCAAGTTTATAAAACATCAAAGATAATAAACTAAAACATGGCTTGTTATGTTACAGTAAAATACTTTACTGTGTACTACTGAGCACTATGTTAATATCACTGTGGGTACAACATTAGATAGAATAAACAAACCCTACTTGTAACAATACTTCACATTCACACATTATCTATAAATTTCTGATAGCAACCAACACAAATAAAACAATGTAATAAACATTGTACTAATAAATAAAACATTATTGCAGTGAACACTCTACGAAAAATAGTACAATTAATATTATTTTAAATTTAAATTTATGTTACATCATCCACACTAACTTTTTTAAATGATCTTAAGTTCTTTCACAAGCAAGCAACAGGTTTATAATGAATTATTTGGAGCATTCAAGCAACACCGTACTAATAGTGAAAGCACTTGATAATATCTTTAGAAAGTCATTATTTTTTACCATTCACATGCAAGAGTACTAGACTGACATAAATTGAACAGTGAAAGTTAAAACTGGAGCAATTTTTATCACAAATTGTAACAGATCTTATAGCCAGTTAATTTATTACAACTGCTGGAACATACATTACACACCTTTGTACACCTTCATAAACAATATAAGGAGAATATAAATTACATACGAGACCTTGCAATTAAAATGTAGAATAATGAATATACTAAAAACAAAAAGTAAATTATTTAGTTTACCAAAAATGAATAACAATGTGTAAGATTTAATTAAAATGTTAGTGGTTACAGAATACTAAGAAAAACACTATATTTAGACACTAAATAAGTCCGAAACATTTATGCAGCATCTTTTACATAATATTAAGATTATGTACTTACTCAGTTTATAACTTTCACGTGGCACTTATTAATGTAAACAATTCCGAAAACAAATCAACGCAATTAGATAAAATTTTGTTGTTCTACGTATTACAGATAGCAATTTAAAGTCATTTCATGATCGACTTTAAGCTCACTAAAATCTCACTCAAACCATGGCTGGCAATTTGATAATACGAAAGAGGAATCTTGAAAGGACTGTCTCTGACGTTTGGTTAATGACATAAATTGTCAATGTCAAATCGGACAGTGTCAAATACGTCCATGGTGACAACCGTCAACGCATTGTTCTACTCACTGATATGATAAATCACAGATAGTGATTTTTTTTAATCCACTGAATCTGAAAATCTGAAACAATCTGTTTTAGTACTTTGTAGAGTACTTTAATATTTCCAAGGAAATATAAATAAAGAACAGCATTAATTTGTATAGCTTTGATTGATCTTCGATGTAGTAAAAGATATACTCGACTTATATGTTACGAACTTAAGCTGGCTGTACACTCGCGTGTGAAGTCGCAGCGTGAATTCACGACGTCGTTAGTTATGCAGGCTACAAGCCTTTATTGTGCAGTTTGAAAAGTACAGTTATTGAACTGTACAGTTAAATCGTAGGTCGATGCACCATAACACTGTCAGTTAAAAAGGTATAATTAAATCCAAGTTAAAACTGCACAGTTAAATGATGATGTAGGTATGTAGCGTGCACAAGCGCCGGCCGTGATCCACGTGTAAATGAGTCTTGTTCGAGTCGTGAACTCGTGACTATGATCGACGAAGACGTGATTTCTGCTACTGCTATGTCACTACCATTACTTTGTGATAAAAATAAGGGCTAAGTCACTATTTCACGGTACATTCATATGAATGATACTAATAACTAATACTTATAAATAATACTAATAAAACTTAAATATTTAAGTTTAAGACAATCCCTAAGATGTGTACGTCTACGCTACGCTACTGAACAACAACAGAAAACTGTGTCCAAGTTTGCGAGTCGTACCCTTTTCAGGCTAAAAATCTGACACTGATCCAGATACGAATTAAACCCAGAGTATCCTAAGGAAGCACCTCATTAAATTGATGCCCATCATTTTTTTGACACCATCGACTCTCCATGAGCGCGCTCGTCTTGCAGCGCCCCTCTGTGTCCTGGTAGGGATAATACGGCTCTGCGAATCGGGATACAGCGCTATCTGCTAACGAGAAAGCGTGAAGTTAGCGAGGAATTTGCAGCTGTTCAAGCCGCGAGTGTCTTATGACTTATTGATTATTAATGTCGAAATCAAGTAGAAATAAAATATTTAACAGTATCGTTAAGTTATGCATGTTGTCCACTAAGAAATGCATAGAAATCATATTTTATACACTCGTTTAATACAGTTAAGAAGTTTAAGTCAACACTCAACTAGAAACAATCAATGGACTGGTGTACTCAAGTATTGTTCATTCGTATGAGCCATCATGACTAAACTTGTTGAACATTGAAATTGCACGTTTTTGAATTATTTAATTATTATAAATAACCATTTTATATCACATCGATTTAAATTATTATGTTTTCGGCTTACTCTCATGTATCATATTCATATTCATGAGCCTAGCATGGCTCTAGCATGGCTTGAACTAGTCGAGTTCTTATCAAATAATTACGTGAGTAAGCCGAAAACATAATAATTTATTTAGCATATCTCACGAAAGTTTTAGATCACATTGATTTGTTTGAAAATCAAGTTTATAGTAGTTAACATTTTTTCGCTTGCAACATTTAAGCATTTAATTGAATCAAAAACAATAATTCTATGCTCTATATCCGTAGCAAAATCTAAAGAATTTTATTTTAGCACACAGCGCTATCGTAATCAATCCTATGATATTAATGGAATCCTGATAAATATTCTAATGAAAAATTAAAATACACACGTTTTCTACATTTTCTAATGCTGATTTTATAGATTTTCCTTTTCAGTGCAAAATGAAAATTTTTACTATGCCTAGAGACGCTCGTCATTCTTGGGTCTTGTTTGGCCGCCATGTCTGAAGTTCGTTGTGTCTTCGGAGGTCGTGTTGTGCTTCTCTTTAATGTTTATAGATTTCAGTGAATTTAGTTATTATAAGACGATGAATTTATACAAATATTAAAGAACTATGATTTAGTTTATTGTGTGGAGTGACTGTTACACTGGACCAAATCGATACATTTTGCGTTTGAAGAAGTTACTCTAACATCGTATTTTTAGTTCATCCGCCATATTGGCGTTAATATCTCTTCGTAAGTCTTTTTTCATAATTTTTAGCTTTACTGGTATTAATTTGATGTATTTTTCGTACTATTTTGTTGCTGTTTTCATAGGGCTGCATAATTCGTTAAAGTAGAGTGTGCATGTTGCTTGTATTGAGCAATATATTTAACTTTATGTTCATGGCCTCTTTAAGGCAATTTTCTCCCATTTTTAGTTACTGAAATTGAGTTAATTTTATGGTATCTAATATAGAAAACCCTATCTTATACTGACTAAAGTATTGGCCATATCAAATTGTATTAAAATCAAACTTTGTTTTGTAGTTAGTTGTTTTATTGTACTTGTTCATGTTCTTATGAAATAGATGTTAAGAAACAAAGCTGTACGTTATAATTTTGTCTCGTTATCAATATTTTTTTCAAATATATATTCGTGCCAAATTTGTTATTTTTTATTGATGTTTCTACCTCTGTACCTGATACCTGTAAATCACTTCAATTTTAAAGCTATGGTAAAAGAATGTTCTAGAACGTTTGTACGCTCTCTGAAGCGTCATGCTGCTATGTATATTGCTGATGACTCATTTGGCCAGTTTGAAGTATCCATTTTTCACCCTTACAAAAGCTTGATTTAGTGGATGGTGGTAGTGGTACAACAGTATTGAATAGGTAAACTGCATGCTATAAGTGATTCACATGTATGATGCATGTCAACAAATTGATATTTGCAAAAGCACTTTTCCCTCCGAAGAGGCTGCATTATTTATAAAGTAGGTTACCTTGTGCATTTAGTCAACATTCAATGAAAGTCTAGTCTAAAGATTATTCTGAGTGCAGTGCATAGAGTTATTCATTTGTTCATATACATATAAATAAATGACCAAATGAAATTATGACCTGGCCATAAAATGCTAATAATTTTTGTTATACCGGTCTCTCTTTATATCAACCTTGAGCACAAGGTATTACATTCAAAGACCTTTCTATGGTGACAGGTTATGATGCTTTAAATATTTTTAACTTATTTACTCTGATAATGGAATGATAATCACATTTAATTCAACTTTCTCTTTCCTATGAATCATATGCATAATATTGTGAAATATAATCGGTTGAAATATGCAAGCTTCTCAATCAAGTTTGTATGTTTTGATTATGAATACACGGTTTCCTTTATTATGAATCTATCACAAGTGCCAAAAAAATCTTATTAATATTTTGAACTAGATAATAATTATAAACTAAAATACTCAAGTTTTGAAAACTAATTGCCTCGCTGCATGAGCTAAGGTCTAAGATATAATAGATATAATTTGCATGTTGATCACAGATATCTGCTGCGTGATGTTGCATGCATTCATAGTACTAAGTTTATATCTTATTTATTTATTTACAAGATACAGGAAAGATTAATAGTATTTAAAACTCTTAAAAATGTATGGTAAAAAATATACAAAAGAACTTTTCTTGACTGTTTACATTAGATCTAAAAGCTTGGTTAGGTATAATGAGGTAAAATCATACATTAGCAGGTTTTGGTAATGGGATGGTTACCCTAATATCATAGATTATTGTCATAATGAAAGCAACATAACAAAAGTCACTTCAGTAATAGTTTTATAATTTATAATAGGGTTCATTATTATATAATTAGTAATGTACAAATTTCTAATTATTGTAATAAAACCAGCCTTGGTAATGACTAGTTAGGAATGTACATATAATAACCAAATTCACTAAACTAATTTAATGTGTATTTTGTTGCAGAACTGAAGACAGTGCTGTGGAATCAGCCTTTGGTGCTCCAATATCCTTACTTACTTCCCTACCCTGCAATCAGATGCAAGGTAACATATAATTTAGTTTTATTTAAAGGTATTTAATTATAATTTTTATGTTTGCCTATGTAATGATTATAAAAGCATTGTAGAATTAATTCTTTTTTTTTCAACTCAAAGAAATATTTAGTTAGCAGCAAGATAAATATTACTATATTTCTTTCAGGTAGGATTTTTATTTGTCTATGAATGGGATGACCTGCATCTAGGTGCACAAGCACCAACAGAATTTATATTATGATAGAATGGTTTAGTGTAATAAGAGGATTTAGCTGATGCCTCTTAGTCAGAAATTGGATGAGCCTCTTGTTACAATTGAGGTGAGAGTTTGTTAAATACTCCTTACTGTTCTAGTGTTAGGTTGGTGTGTTTGTCTACTACAGTAGTGGTGTCACTTTGGCAGGTAGATTGCTGACTCCAGCACAATGCAGCAGGCAGTCGATCCTCTCGCTACCACCAGCACGGTATGTTGCAACATCGTATTCTGACTAATGATCATTTAATAGTTTTTTAATTTGATGACATAGAACTTATCACATTCAATTATTTAATAATTAAATTGATTACTTTTTAATAAGCTTATAATTACACATTTGTGACCATGGTGACTTTATTGTTGAACTGTTTTCAATTGTCATGATATAGAAATATAATTTCTGAATTTTCACCTGTAGCCCACGGCAGAGCCCGTCAATGGCGCTCCGCCTGATGAGCCGGCTCGGCGGCAGGGGCGGATGACCAATCAGCTGCAATTTCTACAAAAGAATGTGATGAAGGCAGTATGGAAACATCAGTTTGCATGGCCTTTCCACCAACCAGTAGATGCAAAAAAATTAAACCTTCCTGTGAGTATACAGCTTAGTGAAGTCATAAAATAGTATGCAACTGTTAGTTTATTAAATTTAAATAATAATATTATTATGTTTTTTTAGGACTATCATAAGATAATTAAAAAACCCATGGATTTAGGAACGATAAAGAAGAGGCTTGAGTCCAATTATTACTATTCAGCTCAGGAATGTATTCAAGATTTCAACACCATGTTCACCAACTGCTATGTGTACAACAAACCCGGCGAGGATGTTGTAGTCATGGCACAAACTTTGGAGAAGTTGTTTCTGAACCGGGTAAGTAAAAATACAAGTGGAGAAATGGTATTCTTAATAAGTTTAACTGTACAATTTATAAAATGCAATAAATCAATTTAGTTTGATAGATTAAACAGTATGACCATAAGAAATTAATTTCTGTACTTATAGAGTACTAAGCTGGGCTTATCACAAACATAATATTTACCAGACAACCTTTATCAACCGAACTACAGTGGTGTAGGTTATTATGTAATAGATTGGACTATCGATTTAAAAGAAAAATGCATCCTCAGATAGCGCAAATGGATAAGGAAGAAAAAGAGATTGAGGCACCATCGAAGGGTGGGAAGGGTGGAGTGAAGAAGCGCGGCACGTCGACGCCAGGCGCAGTGGCCGCAGTGGCCGGGGCCGGGGCGGCGAGCGCGCCCAGCCCCGCGCCGCGCGCCGCCAAGCCGCCGGCCGCCGCGCCACACCCTGCCCTCGTGGGCTCCACCAACACCACCACGACGCCCGCCATCCCCGCGCCGCCTGCAACGCCACCCGCCACTCACACTGGCTTGCCACAACAGGTACACTACTATTCTGTTTATTTTGTGTATCTATATTCTTCAAAAGTAGGACAAATTGTCATTATATCACCTAATCTGTGTAGGTCGCGACTCAGCCGTCGAGTTTCCATGTGGCTCCACCGGCAGCCCCACCTGTCTCGACGATACCTGCGGTAGCACTATCCCAAACACAGCCAGCTAAGGTAATTAACACTAAACATCACATCTTAGTAGAATTTGATATAGAAAAGAAATAGTACTGACAATATTTTTCTACTAGGTGAAAAAGGGTGTGAAGAGAAAAGCCGACACTACTACTCCTATGGGAAGTTCCTTTGAAGGAGGATACACTACACCAACAATTGATCAACAGAGTGGTCCCAAACCTGCAAAGATTTCCACTAGGAGAGAGAGTGGACGCCAGAAAAAGGTAAATTGAAGATTTATAATGTGCATAAATAAGTTTGTAATACTGACTGTCTGTACTTATCAAAAATTTTTTTTTCTATCAGGCGAGTAGGACAGGCGATGATGGCTTCAAAATGGGTGGATTGTCTCCCAGTGGAGCAGGTGCTTCACATCACTCTGCTATGACTCCCCAGCTTGCGAAGGGCAAAGAAAAGCTTTCAGATGCTCTCAAGAGTTGTAATGAAATTTTGAAAGAATTGTTTTCCAAAAAACATTCAGTAAGTGTCTAAGCAATACAATTACCAATTTTATATCGTATTTTATTTATTTTTGTCTATAATATTTATTTTTCCAACAGGGTTATGCATGGCCATTCTACAAACCTGTAGACGCCGAATTACTTGGACTTCACGATTATTTTGATATTATTAAGAAACCCATGGACCTCGGAACTGTTAAACAAAAGATGGACAATAGGGCATATAAACAGCCACTGAATTTGCCGCCGATGTCCGCCTAATATTCACAAATTGTTACAAGTATAATCCACCAGATCACGATGTTGTTGCAATGGCTCGAAAACTACAAGATGTCTTTGAAATGAGGTGATTGTCTGACCATTTATTAAGCATGCATTTATTTTCATAAATCTGTTCTACGGGCATTATATCATGATACATTTTTCACTCATAATAACGGTTACTGTTCTTTCGCAGATACGCCAAGATTCCTGATGAACCTGTACATGTAGGAGTTCCACACATGGATAAAGGAAGTTCGGCGTCTAGTTCAGAGTCGGGCTCTGAATCTGATTCTGAATCTGACGATTCAGAAGAAGAGAGAAATAACAAAGTTAAGCTTTTAGAAAAAGAATTACTTGCACTACAAGAAAAAATGAGAAAATTAGTAGAAGAATCTAATAACAAAAAGAAAGCCAAGAAAAAAATGAAGGACAAACAGAAGAAACAAATAACGAACAACGCTGTGCCCAAAGCCAATGCAGCAGCGGCTTATGCAGCTAAAGCTAACAATATTGCAGAGACTTTGGGTAAGTTCATCTTCACAAGTTCACACTCGAAGCTAACTATGCAAACATTTATTGTACATAATTAGCATTGTTACAATTAAATAATGCTATTTATAATTGTAGCTCCAAGCAATGTCCGAGGGAAGGCTGGTACGAAGCGAGGCGGTGGCGGCGGTGCCGCGGGCGGCAAGGCGGGCGCGCGCGCCGCGGCGCCGGGCAAGAAGAAGAGCTCCACGCCCACCGCTGCGCCGCCCCCGCACGTGCCTCCGCACCCCGACACCGACGACGAAGACCAGGCTAAACCTATGTCCTATGACGAGAAGCGACAGCTCTCGCTCGATATAAACAAATTACCTGGTTTGTACTTTCCTTATATTTCTGTCATTATCAACTTTCTGTTTCCTATTGCTGTTCAAGACTAATATTGTAAAGAATATTGAAATAAACGTGTCTTTATTTGTTTAACAGGTGACAAACTTGGGAAAGTAGTGCACATCATCCAGAGTAGAGAGCCTTCTTTACGAGACTCTAATCCAGATGAGATTGAAATAGATTTTGAAACCCTCAAACCTTCTACGCTTCGGGAACTTGAAAACTATGTTGCATCATGTCTTCGGAAAAAGACACGTAAGCCTTATTGTGAGTTGAACCGACATTATTTACCTTACCTTATCCTATATCCTACACTTTCCTATAATCTCATAACGTTGCTAGGTACTTGCATTTGAATTTCACAAGTGCAGGCACCTTTCTCGATACCTATGTGTGTTTTAGTAGTTTACAGTATGACATGTGTAACTAATAATATTTTTACCTTGTATCTTGTCCTTCTTTCCTGTGCAATCCCCAACCCTTTGGCAAATAATGTTGGTAACAACAACTTTGTATGTATTTGTACAAAAACAATACCAAAAATTTATAATTAATTCAACATTTACAGATCGAAAAGTGTCTGGTAAATCTAAAGATGAACAAATAGCTGAAAAGAAACAGGAGTTAGAAAAAGGCTGCAAGATGTATCTGGGCAACTAGGAACTAATAAAAAGCAGCAACAGAAAAAAGGTCAGTGTCATGTGCAGACAACCTTAGAAACTACAATTAAACTTCAGTGTTCAAAATCCAGACAGAAGACTAATACAGAATTAACAATTAATGTTGTATTGTTTTCATTGTCAGCAGAAGGTTGTAAGGAGACACTCGGTGGTGGCATGTCGTCCTCTTCGAGTTCTTCCGACTCGTCCAACTCGTCCTCGAGCACCGATACCAGTTCCTCAGACAGCAGTGATAGTGAAGCAGGTTAGCCCACATTGCAGACGACTTACGTAATCTATATTATCATTTCGTTCACAGACAGACACAAAAGTATAGCACTGAGTGGTACTCTATTTGTACCATACAATGTAAATTACAGTTATAGTAATAGATTTTAATGATACTGCATTTAAATTAAGATGGATATTTCACTTTGTATGAATATGTTCAAATGCTTGAAATATATGAATAGTTATAGGTTACTAGCAATTTTCATAAATATTTCAAAGACAAAATTATAAGTTTTTACCTTTGCCAGTATTTTTTAAAAATGATGACCGAACACAATTTTATTTTAAATGTGAAATGCAATTTTAACCGTTTAATGTGTTTCTAGTCTGAAATTGATGTCAGTGACAGAATGAATGATAGAGTTGAGTGAGGTGTATCAGCTGAGAAGTATTTGTGGTGTTAACTAAAAGCATGAAGTTAATTTTCTGCAAGGACATCTTTATATATTACTAGAGTATTTATTTATTAAATTCTCATTATTGAGGATTTAACATATTTTTATTTTATTGGCAGTTGTTTTTTTCTCATTTATTTATTGTTTATAAATGAGTGTGGAATATCTCCACAAAGTATTGAAGTAGGAAGTAAAATAGGATGATGTGTAATTTTGTTTCACTTAAATTAGCCAATATGCATGAAGGAAGGATTAAGCCATAGTGTGATTGTGTTAGCTAATTGTGTTATTGATTGATTGGGGATATCAGGTGCTCAAACAAAAACCAGAAATAAACTTAAATGAAAGGGTTCAGTTGGCACCAAAATAATATGACAGAATGAAATCATCAGTGTCCCCTGTAGTAACATGTTTGTGTTGATAGAATGTGTGATTGCTGCGATGTAGTTTGAGTAAATATTATTTTCATTACTGTGATATTGGAGAGGGATACCACCTGAAGTTTGATTCAATGATATATAAAGTCGAGTCTGTAGTCTGGTGCAAAGTATAAGAAATGTTGGTAAAGGCACAAAACAGTTGTTAGTGAGGAGGAGAAGCCAGCTTTGGTGTTCGCTGATACTATAATGTTGGTGCCGGTAAGATAAATATTATTTGGTTTGCTTTCATAAACCAATAGGAAATACCTTTTCACATTAATATTTTTAACTATATCATGTCCTCAAAACGCGAAATTATTTCATTTGCATCCTTAAAGTTCCGATGTCTTTTATAAATTATATTGGAAAGTTCAGATCTCACGGTTACTAATTGCTTTTGAGTGTGAAATTTAAACCCACTTAATATTGATTGAGGCTTGAAATCTATGATAAGAACAAGATATATAGTAGTGTCGGTACGTCCAGTGTTACGAAGCGAAGAGGATCTCCGAGAGCAGATGGCGAGTCGTGCCGCGTGCGCAGCCATAGGGACTATTGCAAACAATTGTGTAAGGACGGATACCAACTTAGCAAGCAAAATTAGCCCCAAGATGGACTCAGTTCTCATTTTGTTACAATGGAGGATGTATTTTGTGACATGTTGTAGTTAAAAATTTATTTATTGAAAAGGTATGTTTTATTGGTTTAATGCTTGATACACTTTGATGCTTGCTCTCAAAGATTGATGTGACGTGTGGATCAAAATTGTCTATTTAAACGTAAAGTAACTAAAGCTGGCCTCCTTCCTTCACAAATTGTTTGCAAACTTTGTTATTGATTGTCGTGGATTAACATTTAAAGTAAGCGACATGTGCACTAGGATTTTCATGTATCTATCAGTGCATTATTAGCATATTTGTTTGTCAAGCATGTAAATTACAATTTTTCGATATATCTTTGATATAACGGAAGGTTTTAATTTAAAGCCATAAAAAATATTATACTGAGTATCTGTTTTTGGCCGTCTCTCTTTGTGATTTTATTATATTATTTATTTATTAGAATACTTTGGATTTTTAGTTATGCAAGCCAGTTTTAGTGTATCCGAACAAAAATATATATAAAAATATGTAAATGCTTACAGTAGGATTCTTGGATGCCTGATAGATATCAATAACAAAATCTTGTGAAATGTACTGGAATATAGAAAAACTTTAAGTAATACTGTGAGCATATAGGAAGGTAATGAGTGTTGTAAAGAAATGAGGATAATTTATTCGCGTTGTAGTCCCATGTTTGGTTGTAAACTCGAGCCTATATACCTACATCTACAACTAAATCTGATCAAAGAATTGTTTCTATTCGTTCTATGTACATACGATGCACGATAACGCATTACGCTTGTAAACCACTGTCTTCAAGATTGGATTACATTATGAAGTTATTTTAGTATTTTTTTATGAAAAAGTTTAGTTCACTAATCAAGGTAAATGCAAATATATCGTTTCGTTTATTGAGGTGGCATTCGGAAAGAAACCTCGCTTATAGCGGATATCTTTCAGCCAATTTGTTTTTGTGATCAAAATTTTTTACAAATTCTAAAGTCATCTTGTTATTTATTACATCGGGAAAAGGCCTAATAAAGTTTTAATTGGCATTTTTACTAGACCCGATAAACCGATTTTTTAAAATGTTGTAAATAAATTAACTTTGTCCAAAACATCACATTTTATGATTGACTTGGAAGGTAAAATGTTAATCATTTTACTTGTTTTACTTATGTTTTATCGTCCTCTTATTTAGAAAGATTTTACACTATGCACATGTACCTATGTTTTATTTTAGATTATATATTATTCAGGTTGAGTAGCTCAATTGAATCAGACTAGAACAATTTAGTATTTTAAATTTGTTGGATAATATGAGTGTATAAGTGGAGTAACTTCCTAATTAAATCTCTGTAAACAATAGTCCATTACTTCATAGTATATATTTTGTCAAGTACAATTTGCAGGTTGCTTCAAAAATCTGTAGTATAAGTTAGTATGTAGTCAACATAATATTTTATCTAGAAGACCCTTTGCAGTCTGTGAGGAGACAGGAAGGGAAGAGAACAAAAACGTTTACTGTATATGTATACAATATTGTATTTTATTTTCTCGAAATGGAGATTATCTAACAAGACTTCACAATCAAAAGTTATTTTATTTTGGAGCCCGTTAGATAAGGAAGGACTGATTGAACTCATTAGTTAGTCTGTTAGTTATCAATGTCAATATTTTAGACAAATTAAGTAATAGTTAGATTTAGAAACAGAAGGAATATCCAACACAGGTTGTTGAACTAATCTGACGGGTTCGGAAATGTTGCAAAACTGATTTTAATTTTCATTTTAAGAGATAGTATGTATGCTTGGTGCAATTAGTAATTACTTGAACGCAACTTATGTTGTAATGTTAATGTAGAGAGTTGATCATAAAGGCAGAGACACCGTGTGTGTTACATTTTATGTAAGATTGATTTAATCAACTCATGACTTAAAATTAATAGATGTAAGAGTGAGTGGAAATAAACTTTGTATATATTTCAATATATAACGATTTAAGTAAATCTCTTAAGTAATTTATTTTGAATTTTATTTACGCCCTGAGATCTGAACAAATAGTAGAAAAGGTATTTATTTTACGAATCGGATTAATTTGTTGTAAACGTTCCTCGTTAGAGAGAGGTATCAGTGAACATAATAGAAAATATGTGCACACTATGGCTTCTCCTCACATTTTACTTGCATTGAAGAGGTAGTGAATTCTGGATCTTGCTGCTGTTTTTCAAGTTAAGTATATATTTGAGATGATGTAGGTCTGTAATGTGACTTACGATGCATTTTGTGCAATATAATTTCATTTCAGGTACGGGATCTAGTAGGACGCCCAAGAAGAAACCGAAGAAACAGCATCAGCATCCACCACAAGCTGTAAATATAATTTCTTATAAAAAATAATTCACTTGTCGAGTACTAGTATTTAATTGAACTTTTATCGTTTGTAGCACAAACCGGTGGCACCTGTGACGGTTGCGACTACCGTGCCCGCGCCAGTGTCCGTGCCGACTACGGTGGAGATGATGGCCCCAGCGCCGCCAGTGGACGTGAAGCCCGTCATTGTGCCGCAGGAAGTGGTCCAACCGCAGCCACTGGAGCTTAAGGAGCCTGTACCCATTCCGACGCCCGTGCTCTCTGTACCCACCTCAGTGCCCCAGCAACCTGCTAACATTATTCCCGATTCTTCCATCGCCCCGGTGGTGCGGGATATGGAGGACCAAAAACCTATTCCTAAAATTGAACCAAGAAATGGCTTAGATAAGATGGATGGGTCGCAATACATTGATCCCATTGAGAGGTCACTGGCAAGTCTAGAGCGAAGTCTTAAGGCTGACGTACCTATGGATGTAAACGTGGGAGTATCAGAGACCTCAATGCGACTAGAGGAGGAGTTTTCTCTACCGAAACCTCAGATCATGCCAGATGCTGCCCATCAAAACTTGATGGCACAACTGGGTGGTTTAGCAGAGGTTGCTCGAGTACCAGAACAGATTAAATCTGAAATGTTTATGCCACCGCACAATGGGTTTGTGGACAAGATGCAACATGAACGTGAGATGTTGCGACCTGACATGAATCCTATAATTCCTGGTATGACAGGGGTGCCTCAGGTGACATCCATATTTGACCCAATACCCACAGCACAACATAGTGTAATCTCACAATCCCATCTTACTATGCCCAATGCGCCGTGTCTTATTACACCTGCAGCGAAAAAAGAAGATGTGAAGCCTTTACTCACACCGAAACCAATCGAAGACCTAATGGGAATTCCGAATATGGTTTCTAATAATATGTCTGACCGCGTCAAGTACGAAATGGAGAAGAAAATTGAGGATTCCAAAAATACTAACTTTGCACAAGCTTTCAAGCTCAAACAGGAACAAAATTTAAAAAATGCAAGCTCTTGGTCTTCTCTTGCACAGGCTGGCAGTCCACAGAGTATACCAAATATGGGACCTAATCATCAAATTAAACAGAAGCCTGTTATGGATAGTTTTCAGGTTAGTTAAAAATAATGATGATTCAATAACTAATTTCTTTATCGTAACTGTTGGAAATCGATACTAAGCATTGTTTTATTTTTAGGCATTCAAGAAACAAGCTAAAGAGAAAATTGATCGCCAAAGAGCTCTTATTGAACAGCAAGAGTTGAGGAAAAAGGAACAAGCAGAGAGAGAAAGACAGCGCCAAGAGACTGAAAGGCGACAACCAGATGAAGAAAAAATGAGGTAAGTTTTAAAAACATTTAATTTTTTATCTATACTTGTAGCTGTGGATTCAAAAGAAGGGAAATATTTGATGTAAAACCTAATTTAATGATTTTGTACTTGTTAGGGTGGCTCAAGGTGTGCGCAAAGTGGAAAGTGCAGAGGTGGCTTCCCCGCGCGTGTCCCCAGTGGCGCGCGCCTCCCGCCCGCCGCGGCCGCTGCTGCCGCCGCCGCCGCGCCCGACAAGCCGGCCGCCTCCGAGCGCGAGCGGCTGCGTCAGCGGGAACAGGAGCGCCGCAGACGAGAGGCTGTTAGTACCTACTCTATTTTATCTTATTTCTCTTGTCGATTTCGCTAATACCAGATGAATATTAATATGAATATTTTTGTTAACTGAAGTGAGAAATGATAATAACTGCAAAAACATTCCAACTCGTGAAATCTTGCAAGAATCTAATTTTATATTCATCTTTTTACTTTTTCAGATGGCGGGTCAAATAGACATGAACATGCAAAGTGATTTGATGGCGGCATTCGAAGAATCACTGTAATATGCTTTAAGGAGGACACTAATAAAATTGTACATATGAGTATATAAATATTAATTTTACGTCAATGCAATCGATAATTATGGTGATAGTATGACACCGAAGTGAGTTTGTGATCGTTTAGTGCGTGAAACAGTTGACTAACATGTGGTTAAGTGCTGTGAATAGGTATACTTAAACTGTTGTAACGTCATTATTGATTTCGTGGTCACATATTATGGGCCTTTACTAGAGGGTTGCATTTTAATTAAAATTAACTTGTATTATAAGTTTGTATGTAAGGTCTTAATGGTAAACAACTCTCTTTACATTCGTAAGTCTATATTTATATTTCGTTTTAGAGGCGTCTCCTTCCTTCCATAATTGTTTTATAGTGTCTACTAATGACGATAGAATGGTAGATTGGAAAATCAACATGTTTTATGTAATTGGTGAATAAACAATCAAATAAACTATGAAATCTGTTATGCGACTTCACACCATTTCTCATTGCATCGCTGTATTACGTGAATATTTCGGAAACATAAGTAATTTCGACGCTTAGAAGTAAATAAAAATATGCCATAACATTAGAATGTCGCTTACAATTCAACGTGCAATGGGTGAAGGCGTGGGTTTATATTTATTAGTAAATGGAATTTCTGTTACGTATTCGATTTTCGATAAATATTGCTTAATGTTAGTAGATTTTTTATCAGTCTGTCATGGAAAACAGATCAAATGTCATACATTTGATTTGAAATATATTTATTTTACATTGGAATATGTCTTTTTATGTTTGTAGATAGATAACTCCAGTGCAAATGTAGTAATTTTAAACGAGTTCTGCATACATACTCATTAATGAATGAGAGAATATAAATATGAATGAATACCAATAATACAAATCTCCACAAAACATTGTATATTGTTAAGCAACTTAATTTCAGCCATTTACTCTCAATCTCGAAATCAAATGTAGATATGAAGTAAAATATATTGACATTCCATATTGTATATATGTTGTTTAAATTGTTATTTATATTTTGTTTTTGCCAATTAATCGTTTTTGGACAGGCATTTTGACGAAATCTCGTCTAAATAGTGAAGTTCAGATTCAAAACAGTAAGATCTCTGAACTGAATTAACAAATCCACTAGTGAGCTTATGCTTAGCTTATAAGCATTTGCATGGTAATTTTACCATTTTTATGTACAAATATCCTGAAGAATAGTTACAATATTGGATACCATTTAAATACGAAATTAATAATTATATCCTACGTTTAAATTTTGGAAGCAATAAAAACATTTTTTATATTTCGTTCTATTGTAACTGCAACCCCTTATTTTATATATAGTCTTGATTCTATTGAATATGGCAGGTAAAACATATTTTATAATTTATAACGAATTATACTCCACTTTGGTTCACTTTCCTAAATCCTAATAAAAAGCCGATAACGTATAGATGTTAGATAGGAAAGGACTTTTAGAGGGCCGATTTTTCAAACATCTGTTAATTCTTAACTGAGGAATGACTTTGAATATTTTACAATTCTTCCATACTAAAACCTGTTGAATGTCAATTTTATTCTACAGTTGAGATCTGATGAAGTGATGATTGAAAAACGGGCCCTTAGATACGAATGTTATGAATCCAGGCGGGAGAAGAAATTCGATGATTTTTCCCCCATAAAAAAAGATACGAATGTGGCCTGTTGCCAAATTGCCAACATAAAATCCTCATGAATAGTTTTGCTGACACAAAAAATATGAGTACATAAATGCTCCTTGCGTTCACATCTGTCGAATGCATCCTGTAACGTACAATATGTTTACATCAACTTATGAAACGTAGGTCGATAGTCTACAAAGAGGCGTGTGCAAAAAGCTACAATAAAATGTGAGTTTTATGCACTCTTCTAAGGTCTTATAAGGGTCTTATTGAATGTATTATCTGCCTCGTTAGTTGACTGGTCGCAAGTAACTGCCGAGCAAGATGCATTTATTATACCTACTACTAGCGACCCGCGCCGGCTTCGCACGGGTGCAATATGCTGTATTATACATATAAACTTTCCTTAAGAATCACTCTATCTATTAAAAAACACATCAAAATCCGTTGTGTAGTTTTAAAAATCTAAGCTAGCATACATGGGGACAGACAGATGGCGGATAGCGACTTTGTTTTATACTATGTAGTGATACTCTTTGGCTAGAGGTCTCGGGTTCGATTCCCACTCGCCCCTTAGTATATAACATCATTTGCACCTCTGTCTTCCTTCTCGGCTAGGTAGGTAGGTACTTCAGGGATGATAAGGAGGCCATATACGCTAGGTTAGGCATGATGGTTATAACTTTGCATACAAAACCGACAAGCATAACCGAGTTTTAATACCACACATACACGTTAGGTTTTGCATGTACATGCACCGATAACTACAGTTTAGTCACACACGCTCGGGCTTGCCTGTCGGTTATGCATGCACGGCTAAAACCATCATGCAAAACCTAGCGTGTATGGCCTCCTTAATGCATCAACAGCCGACAAAAGAAGAATGCTTCAAGATTACATTTTACACAAAGCGGCACTTTGGAGCGGTAAGAAAATAATGTTCCAGAGAGTCTGTATAATCGTTCTGTAAGTATCTATAATTATAAAATATCGATTAAGAAAAGGCTAAATTGTATTTTTTTTTAATTCACGACAGACCTTCCAATGGTCAAGTTGATGGCTGAGTATTCATCATCAGCTCGTATTCGTCCACTGCCGGACATAGGCCTCTCCAATGGCACGCCCCTGAGCTGGGTTTTCAGCTCTTCTCATCCAATTACTGCCAGCCACCATACGGATGTCGTCGCTCCACCACCTAGCTGGAGGGCGCCCTACACTGCGTTTGCCAAGACGCGGTCTCCACTCTAGAACACTTTTACCACACGTTTATTTTCGGCTGAGTATTATCGGGTTCTATCCCCGAATCAAGTATACGTATTATTTGATTTGTCAAGACTTAATAGGTGTAGTAGAGTAGGTAGTAGAAGTGGAGTTGAATCGTGTGCTTCCAACGAAGCACACGATTGCTATAACTCCACTCCACTCAACAGACTAAAAGCAGTTATTTATGACACCATAACTGGTAAAATGTATACCTACCTACTGTCCCGCCTCCTCTGCTTATTAGCGTCATTGTACTCTGCTTGAAAATCTTATAATTTTTGTAGCCTCCGCTCCGTATCCGTAGATACATTTTTTGTTTGAAGGATGTGGTGGGACGTAGGAGCGACTTTGGTAGAAGCAGGTGCTATGAGATGTAGATCATCGGATCGGGAGGGGTAAGGGTCAATTTATACTAGGGCAGAGTCGAAGCGTCTATTCAAAACTGAACATAACAAATTCAACCTTAACCCAACAGCGTAACGCACGCATTGCTTCTGAGATTTTAAAAAGACGCGCGCATTCTTCGGAATTCACACGTCTGCGCGTGACCAACGCTTATTGGTGCGCGCGCGTTCTCGCGTATCCACGACCACTAGCGAATGGATTCGGACGAAAAATTAATTCACCTGGTACAAAAATAGGAATGCCTATCTATAATCCATGCAGTTAATGCCCATTACCTGCTAGGGTCAATTTATACTAGGGCAAAGTCGAAGCGTATATTTAAAACTGAATATAACAAATTCAACCTTAACCCAACAGCGTAACGCCACGCATTGCTTCTGAGATTTTAAAAAGACGCGCGCATTCGCATGACCAACGCGTATCAATTAATTTACTGGTGCATTTTTTATTGGTCACAATCGGTAAATAAAACGGTAAGCAATCGGCGTCGCCCATGGACATCTGGAACACCAGACGCGTTACAAGTGCATTACCGGCCTTTTGGGGAATTAGGAGTTTGAGGATCGTTGGGGATTCAGGAATTGGGGAAGGGGTTACAGGAGGCCCAATAACCCGGGCCTCCGGTAACCCCACTCACACGACGAAACACAACGTTATCGTAACGATAACGTTAAGCAACGATAATATCGTTGCTTAACGTCGGTTTTCTGTGAGGCCGTGGTATCACTCCGGTCGAGCCGGCCCATTCGAAATGCATGTGCATAAATATGGATGCCTATATAATCTACGCAGTTAATGCCCATTACCTACTACTCGTCAAAGAGTGCGCGCGTATACTCTCGAATACGCACGCATTCGCTTTAGTTGTGAAGAATTTGACGCTTCGACTCTGCCCTAGTATAAATTGACCCCTACTCGTCAGAGTGCGCGCGTATACTCTGGAATACGCGCGCATTCGTGCGGCATCGCTTTAGTTGTGTGATGAATTTGACGCTTCAGTGTGCTTCGACTCTGCCCTAGTATAAATTGACCGTAAGACATCGATGATAGACGATTTCAAAATTCTCAAATAACAGTGTCATGTTTAGTTAGCTAACTCGTCTTTTACAGTGGGGACATATCATATCTATCGAAGAAGCGAGATAATGAAACTGATTTATGTTTTATAACAGTACCTAAAGGGATTGAAAAAAGTAAATAAAACAATGAAATCCAATTGGAATAATAATATATCACATTCCTTGATCTTACTGTACATCTAGACTACAGACAAGCACTTATATATTATTACATTAATAATATGTATAGTTTTTAAATAAATTCATATTCGCCAATCCTCAAGTTCAGCCTAATATGTCGATGACGAACTCTGAATGTAAGTTTGAGAGCATATTGAAGTTACCAGCGCTTTGTTACAAAAATCTAATTTTATCACTAATCGTGAGTTACAAGGATACAAAAAATATAGGGAGGCATACAAAAATAGCATTCAATTTTAATAGTCCCATAAAATTGCAAGTATAGCAAAGAAAAAATACATTTGCAAAACTGATGTTAATTATGTCAATCTGATATTTTATGAGACTTAAAACAGTCTTAGAAGTATTCTAATGTAAATGTATTGTTATAAAGGTCTGAAAATAGATGTCTGCTTTCTGACTCTCAATCCAAAGTCTATCGATTATTTTACTTTATTTGGCTTTCCTCGTTAGGAGGCGTTAGAATCCCACTCTATGAGGTAGGCGGGGGCGGCGCCCGGCGCATGACGTCGCGCTAAAACGTGGAACGTTTGTCCGGCGCGGAAGTACGACTGTACACTCGACTTCAAGGCGGACAGTTGCTCTGCGTTCACCTCGGCGGCAGTGCTGTTAGCTTTGTGAGGACTCAGCTGTAAACTTTTTACGCTGTTATTATTACTAGAGTTATTATTCGTATTTCTTCTTGCGTTTTCATAATAATTCTTCTCCTGTCTCTGTCTCAGTCTTCTACCGTGAAATTTCACGTTATTGATGTGTGCCCCTGCTTGAGGAGCGACTTCACCATTTTCGTTTGGGATTTGAGCAGGTTTATTGTTGTCGTCTGGCAGAGGACACGACTTGTTCAACTGAAAAAAAGAATTACGATTTTAATTTTACGAATGAACTAATCTACTTGTTCTATAATAAAAGGTATTTCTATTAATTACCTGTTGTTGTAGATATTTCCGAGGCCTTCTGTATTTCCTTCTCTTTACCTCACCATTAGGTCCAATTATAATATCCTTTTCGCTAAGTTTTCTTTTCATCGGCCTTACAAATGGACCCATAGCTGGATTCAAGTTCACCGGTAACGAGAATCGTGAGTGATGATTGTTTTGCTTCCCATTTAGTTTGCTATATACATTTGAAGATAAGAATGGTCTCTTAGATGAGTAGCTATTTTGCATTAAAAATGGATTATTTTTTCCTTGGAAATCTTTTAGCGGTGGTATAATAGCGTCTAGCGTGCCCCTGCTGGAGGTCTCGTCCCCTGAGGACTCCATGTCATGGGTGAAGTTGCTAGTGTAAGGTGGAAAGCTATCCATGTGATGCAGAGACATTATTTTGGAATGTTCGATAATGTTCTTAGTAGATAACTTAGATAGTTCTAAGTTCATTGTAGCTATCCTCGTCGTGTGCGTATTTATATTGACGTTCGTGACGTCATTTTTGCTCACGTTTGTATCAACTATATTCTCTTTGGGTATATTATCTAACTTTACAGAACATGAAACTAAAGAAGTGTTGAGAGATGGCACAGGAGGGGGTTCATCACAAATTGACTTTGCTTCATTTGTGGTTACTATTTCAGTCAGCTCTGATATTTTTTCTAAATTATCGGCTTTGGCATCAGAAGTTCTAGGTGAAGAGGCGCAGATAGAAGGTGCTGGTGATGGTTGTTCATCGTTTTCAGTAGGTTTAACAGACTCATAGGAACTAGTAGAATCGTTTTCTGAATTTGAGTTAGAGTTGAGATTTTCATGGAACCGCTTGCCCATCATCAGGTTTAGCCAATGACCATCAACTGGCACTATCATACGTTGATTGTGGTTTTTATAGGAACTTTTATCAATGTTACTGCTAGAAGGTTGAGAACTGCAAACAAATAATATTAAATTAGGTCTCGGATCATATAATTAAAGAGTGCAAATTAACTTTTGTGTGTAGTCAATATTTTAATACCTGTCATCAACAACTGTCTGAGGTGATGGTGCTCGCGGTAGAAACCTAAGTCGCGGTGCATATTCCCTCACCAACTTGTCTGTCAATGGTTCTCCTTTTTTGATCTGCAGAGCAAAAATATTCGTCCAACTAAAGTTATACAATATGATTGTGCGCTGATTATTAAAGGTTAGGTGCGGAGTACTTTCAACTGTTGTACTTGGATGCTCTAATGCATGAAGGAAATAGAATGGAAGTTAAAGAATAATTCATTACAGCAAGGATTGGTAGGTGCTTTATATTCTTTACTAGCTTCTGCCCGCGACTGCGTACGCGCCATCCCGTTTCTCCCATTCCCGTAGGATTTTCAGGACTTTTTTCTGTCATAAGAATTTTCTCCTGACAATAACAATCACAACAAAAAAAAATCAGCCAATTCGGTCTAGCCATTCTACTACCAGTCATTAAAGTTATGGCGTGACAACGAGTAACGGGTTTAATTTTTATATACATATAGATTCCCCGGAGAAAAAATTGTTCTTGTGTAAAATAATACCACAAACATCAACAGACCTGTTCCAATGCAGATAGTTGGAGAGGCGGCGGCGGCGGGCGACGCAAGCGTAGACCCCAGATAGTGGCTCGCTTCTTCATTTCACGTCCGCATTTAAATCGCTTACGAGAAGAGGTTAACGCAGTTAATATCTTTTCACGGCGCTCTTTTACTGGAGTCCGCCACATCTACAAATAAGATATAATTACATACACGTCCTGGAAAATAAATAAAAACACCTGGCAATAAATACTGCACATCGTCTTTTGGAAAGAGACAATCGACCTAGTCGCCGTGTACTGCTAATAGTTATAAGGCACTAAAACTATTCAAGCAAACAAAAAAAATAGTTTTATGCAAACATATAATTATAATAATAAACAAAATTCAGATTTTTCAAAAATCGATGTGCATATTTATCGCCGGGCACTGTTGTTTTGTAATTTTCTAACCTTTTCAGGTAATTGCAATGCATGCCAATTATCCATGATATACGGCATTATAACATTATCTAAGTCGAAATAATTAGGCGCATTGTACGCGGTGAGATTATAAAGCGCGAGATGCGCCAGATCTAACCAACAAAGCTCCAGCCTCCGCAGATATTCCGCTCCGCCATTGCAATGAGCACACGCAAATATATACAATCTGGAAATAAAATGTATTATTTCATTTGAAAAAATCAGTATGTAAATTAATAAAAAAAAAAACATATTTGACCTCTGAAGTTATAGTTTTGTTTTGTACAAACTAACTTAAAAATGAAATAGGACAAAGTTTATCATAACGAAAAAAATACCACTTAAAAAACCACATTACAGTCTACTTGATAAAAATTCTCCATACTAAAAAGTTATTTATAATTACAGAACTTATACTAAAAACAGAGGTCTATTGTTTAGTAGCTTAGTTAAAAAAGGCACATATACTTACTTATCGCCGGCATACAACGGGTATTGTAAACTCGACACGCATCTTTGGTGAAACCAACGAGAACATCGACAACATAGTAACATCTGAAACCAAAATATACAATGTAGTGTTGCCAGAAAATAAAATTTTTTAACTGACGATATACTATTTGACCACGAAATATTGGTTGGCGCAGTAACTGAGCGATCGCCTGTAGCAAAGCATGTCGCCAGTTAAGTTTAAGGTTCAAATGTGGTTAGAGTGTTTTAAAAAAAAAAAAAATAAACCACCTAACAGATGAAGAGCGCAAGTGCGAATATCCTAATTATATGGATTTCTATGATCATGTGGGATTTATTTATAGTTTTATTTACTGATTGATTAAGCTTTAGTCTATCTAGCTTAGTAATCAGTAGTGAACCAAACCTGTGCGAGCCAGTCGCTTTTTTCGCCGCAGTAACAATGCGTTTCATTTTGGTCTTTACCAGCATCCGATACTGACGCCGACGAAGTCGTTGAAGCGGTCTGAAAATAAGTCGTACGTTAATACTCTTATCTTTACTTTAACATTTAAATGCGATTGTGTATGTTTGTTTTTCCTTTATGTCGCAAAAGAATAAATGTTATGGTACGATTTTTGTATCTGGAGATTTCTTTTAACCAGGTGGGTGGCGAAACAACTTGTTTCCTAAAAAGGACTTCGATAATTTCGTATTGTTAAGTTACAACGACGATGTTTGGAACTACTGCCTCGTTGACTGAGTGGTGGCAAACGTGATTGCCTGCACGGAATCTCGAATTCGGTACTGGGATTGAGTTAACTATTAGGGTTCTTTCAGTTTTATAAAATTCTCAAAAGTAACAATTGAGACTAGTATATGGTAATAAACTACCTTCATCCATTTCTCGGTGGGAAATAGTCAAAAGTGAGTGTAACATTTATTTTCTTTCTACCCCTTTGGGAGGAGTGTGTTGGAATGGAACGGTAATAAACCTACATCGCAGGGTGGAGTGAGTTCCTGTTGCTGTCTCCTCTGCTGTCCTCCTTTAAATCTAAACAAGTCTGATCGCTTGAGCGCCCTGTTCTCCGCCGCGGCCACTCTGTACCTTTGGTCCACGCATCTCTTGCAGTGCCATGATGCACCTGTTAACAATTTTGAATTTTATATCTTAGAACATGGAATTTTGTGTAAAATCGAATTTCTCCAGGACCAAATCGACGTATTAGAATGACGACATGAAATTTTATGTGCATTGGCAGACGACGACGACGAGATGATGGTTGATGGTAGTGGACGTTGACAACAACGATTAGGATCTATAAAAGTCGAAGTGCCGAAAGTTCTATAATATATACCTAGGCCTAAAAGCAAGGAGGGAAATACCGGATCATGAAGTCTCCATAAGATAAACGAAATGAACAAAAGATGTAATTAGCTACTGTCACACCTCATAAAGGATTACATTTATTTTTGGCTACACCTGTGTGTTCATAAAAATAATGTGCAGAACTAATCCTGTTCTGCACATATTAATCGCAGTAGAAAGTTTTGCACAATTGCGTAACTAGAAACTCGTACGTAACGCAACATAGCTGCGGCGTACAATGATGTATTAAGAAGTTCCCAAGTTCCTAGATAGAACTATAGTATTAAGAAGGTACCATAGGATTTGATGTAGCGAGCAGGAAAACATACATATGACATAGTTTACGCTTAGTTGAAGGGGTGACAAAACAAGGCTTTTGGGTGTGTATATGGACAAGACACACCCTGAAAATTGTTCATAAAAATTACTATGTTTCAGTTTCACTACCGTAATACTTCTGCATATCGTGCCGAACTCGATAATAATAAGTTCAAATTAAAACTGACGGCTTGAAGTGACGGGTAAAGTTGAAAATTGGCAAAAAAGTTGGAATTTATAGACACATTCGCTTGATCGCAGTAAGTACATACCGTTAATCCATGCGTCGACGGGCGGCGAGTGGCACTTGGCGTGGTAGCCTCTTCCGCACATGTCGCACGCGATGATCGCGTTGGTCGCGGGGCTGGCGGCCGGGCCCTCGCGGCGTTTGCACACCACGCACATGATGCGCCCGTCGTCCGCCGGCGGGGCGCTCAGCAGCTTCAACGAAGCCACCGGCGCCCACGCGTGCGTCCCATCCCCAAACTTCACTAAACATCGCGCAGTCCCCGTCCCCACTTCGCATGAGTCGTTGTCATTACTAGTACTCAACTCTACTATTGTTCCTGGTTTGAAGGAAACACTGCATAAATATTGTATTCTATACCAAAATATATATTTTTTAATTCTGGATTACTACATGACTTAAACACAATCTTTTTATACTACAGCACTTAACGAACATAGGTGTGGTTTATCACAAGACAGGGTTGAGTAGATAATGAACAAAAATTACACAGCCTATAGGTGATTCACTCTGGGTTTCACAAATTATACACAAGAATACAATAAGAGTAAATACACACCTAAATAATATCGTCCATCTTTGTTTGGTACCAGTACATCATCCCCACAATGGAATGGATTAGCATTATTTTTTTCCGTATTGGTTGTAGAGTCTGGCATGGCATCCTGTGTCTCTTCTTCTTTTTTTTCATTCTTTTTGCTAGCACATGGTGTAATTGTTTTGTCAAGGTCGCTCAGGAGGGCATCGATCAGAGACAACTGTGTTGAGACCTCTATGGAACAAAACAATAAAGAAAATAAATATTATTGAATTATTTACTGTAAAAGTGACTTTATACTAATGAAACAGTGCATGAGTCTATAAGCAAAGAAGTAAACCATGAAAAGAGTTTTATGAAAGGATCAAAGGATCACTAACGGGTAAATTGAATACAGAAACTTTTACAATATATTTGTTTTCAGAGCTTGACAAACAGTGGTATTGTTTTAGAAAAGTTTATTAAACTTTCTTCCAACTTTGTTAAAAAAAGTATGAATAACCTATATTTTTTTACTTGTTTTTCATCAAAGTTTAATTAACACCTCATGATATGCAAACTTTGTTTCTATTAATTTTTTGTAACTCATTATAGAACAAGCTGTTAGCTTTGACTTTGTCTGCATAGAATATGAATTTTAGAATATCATATAGAATAGAATAACTATTTTTTGTTTCAGTTTTCCAAAATAAAAGTAGCCTATGTTACTCCTTAGTACATCAGCTACCTGCACATAAAAGTCTTGCAAAATCGGTCCAGCTATTCCAGAGATTAGCCAGGACATACAGATAGAAAGACAAAAAATGCAAAAAAAATTATTTTGCTATGTGCATTGTATGTATATTCATATGCATGTAGTAAAAAGCTGTTATTTTAATATTACAAACAGATAATACAATTTTATTTACATGTATAGATTACTGTTAGAAGTCTCAGCTATTTAGTAATATGCTATTGCTTTACTGGTCATTATTTCGACCATAGGACTAAGTCTTGTGAAAGATAACTGAGTAGTTTTAAAACCTTAAAATGATATTAAAAGTATATTATTTAGTAAAATAAGGTTATAAAGATTCTCTAAAGCGAATTGGTTTATAATTTATCAATTTATTTACCTACACAAATAGATAAGGTTGTTATGTTTACCATATAAAGCGCTATTCACTGTTATTATAAACAAAAAACAGAATGAAATGAACAAATTATTATGTACAAGTGAATTGCAGTTATAATTTTGAGATATACAGGAATATACTTACTCCAAAGTTATTATCCAATATATTGTTCCAATTGTAAGCAGGAAAAGAATAGAATGGGTGAATGTATGATTACAAAGATATGATAGTGAGAAAGAGGATGAAAGGTTTGATTATCAAGAATATTAGAACATTTATTGATACTGATATACAACATAGATTGCTTAAAACTATGCAAGCAGTGGAAGCAGGATAGTTCTCTAGAGTATGTGTATGTAACTCAGGGTACAAGGATAAACAACATTTCTATGTATATTAAGGGACTCTTAGATATAAAGCCAATAGTGTATCATAACCCTAATGTCTGGAAAATTGATGTAAATTACTTCATTGCTTGTTTACAGGTTGCTGTAATATTTTAACATATTATTTTCCCTATAAACTAATAAGGATAAATATTTTAAGTATTTGGAAGGAATATTGTTGTTAATTAGGACATAATTACTTGAAATATCATGCAGTTTCAAATACCTCAGGATTAGCTGCTTATTAGATTTTCAAAATGTCACTGAAGATGCAAACTGATAATAATTATCAGTCTGCGAAAAATATGTTTCTTTAGAAACTTAAAATGTTATACTTTAATCTCCTCAACTTAGCACAAACCAAGACAATGAAATAAGTTTGACAATCGTATTGTAATTTGAATACATTGATAGCTGATCTCTTTGGAAATCATGGGCATAAATACGTGCCAATAATGTTAAAAACTTCTTGGTCAGTTTGTATTTATGGACATAAATCATTCAAAATGACAATAGTAAACGGCACCGCTTATATTTCTCATGAATCACAGATTATGGTGAGTTAGATTTCTGTGTTACATACTGTTAGATTTATCGTTTGTCCTAAGGAATTACTCGCCGAGCGTGCATTGCTATTTTTCGAGATAATTTTTCAATAAACCGTGTACGTTTCATTTACGCATCGTTTTTAATATAATGGTTCTTTATACAACAAATAAACAAGACCTAAAGCAGGCACACGCTGAGAAAAAGTTACGATAGAAGCTATCATTACAATTTATCAAAGCATTTGAAAAAATAAGCTGAAATCTTCTTGTAACAATTATTTGCTACTTACCAGCGTTGATGTCCATCTCAATTATGATTTCTTTATCTCATATAAAGCATTGGAGAAGCATTATTTGGACTCAAATTTCATACTTTAAGAGCAAACACGTAAAGCATTGGCGCTTTTGCGGCCATTATACTAGTCAAACGTTTCACAGTTTTCCCGCGGTAACAAAATCTAACTTAAATTCATGGGTAAACTTGATTGATAACGACTTTATTTATTGACTACACTTTCATTTCATTTATATAAACACTTTATTCCTAAATTCATATTAATTAACCATTAAAAATTAAACAAAATAACCTTTCGAATTTCTTCTATCGGATATCAATCCCCTCCGTGCAGTGAGCACGCACGTCACTATTATTGAATGTTGGAGGAACTGTTTTTATTTAGTGTATTATCTATACCGTTCATTCCGTTATTTTTGGTAAAATTATCAGAATATTCCCTGATTTATTGTTACTCTTTAGATGAAAATAATATTTAATTTTTAAAATAGCTATTATAATTTTAACATAGGTACCTACACATACACTGTGTATGTATGTTTCACAACTTTTAATTAAAAGTTTTTTTTTAATGTGAAAAGTGTCATCAGTGGTTGCGCATTGAAAGAGTAATGTTTTCAACCGACTTCATGTAAAATTTAAATACCGTAACGTTAAAACGTTTGGTGTAAATATACCATTTAGGTATTCGATGATATATGGCAATAATATAACAAATGGTATATTTTATTGTCATCCTACTAAAATGATAAAAAATATTAGTAAACTATTTTTCGCATGATTTCTTACATTTAAAATATTATTTTAATAATGTTAACTAATAAGTAAAAGCTTTGCTTTACAAATAAGAATATTTTACTCGTAAAGTCATTATGAAAATAACTCAAGAAGACAATAGTTTGTCTATTGCTAAAAACTACCATTAGTCAGTCTGTGGTTACAAGTGAATGTCTGAAACAGAATGTCAATGACTCAATGTGTCAAATCCAACATCAACACGAAAAAAAAACTAAAAATAAATTACAAGTCACAACAATACAAAATATCAATATTGCATGATTCTATCACTTTGTTTTAGTTATACATTAGACAATACGTACAAATTACAGAGAGTGTTGACATGGGGAACTCTAGTATTAAGCAGCATTATGAAACTGCGTCGAAAACAGGTGTTTTACAATTGTCTGATTACAAGCTGAAAGAAATACCTGAAGAAGCTCTCAATTTAAGTGATAAATTAAGGAATTTAGATTTATCGAAGAACAAATTATCATCTTTACCCAATGACGTATGTAAATTCAAGTTGTTAAAGCAGCTGAATCTAGACACAAATAGAATAGAAACCATTCCAGATTCTTTAGGTAATATGAAGAAGCTTGAGATGTTTAATATGTCTAATAACTTAATAACATTCCTACCAGAGTCTTTTGCTAAGCTGAGTAACTTGAAACAAGTGTATTTGAGTAATAACAGGATAAAGGAGTTTCCGACACATTTGTTGGGTCTTCATAGTTTGGAGGTTGTGGACTTATCTCATAATAAGATAACGGAGATACCTAAAGGAATGTCGGAGTTGTATGCAGCCGAGCTTAATCTGAGTCAGAATGAGATATCAACTATCAGCGAAGACATGCATCTGGCTCCTAGATTGAAGATATTGAGGCTTGAAGAGAATTGTTTGAGTTTAGAAGCGATCAGGCCGAGTTTGCTGAGAGACTCTAAAATGCATACTATTAATTTGGATGGCAATTTGTTTGAACAAAAACAGTTGGTGTCTGTTGAAGGATATAATGAATACACGGAGAGGTATACTGCAATGAAAAAGAAAATGTTTTGAGGAGTTTACATGGTAATGAAATTTCCAAAATCAAATGTTTTTCAAGATATCATTCAACACTAAAGATTAATATTTTAATGTGTATAAGGACACTTATCTTGTAATAAATTACTATACACCAAATCTAGTTTATTTATTTGTGTTACTTGTTGTGTAATGTGTTTATATGTTAATATAATATAATATAATAATATAAAATTAATACTCTGTTGTTTCTGTTTTATTTTAATCCATACTATGATTGCAAACTAGTTAAAAATTACTTCTCAATTTGAACTATACCATAACATAACTTCAGATCATTTAGCTGGTCGAGATCCAAGCGGTCACCAGTGACCACTCTCCACTTACACCATTATTGACCTTATTTCCGATGTTTAGAGACTATTTTTGTATGAACAAATTTTTCATATCGGGCATTAAGAATTATACATATACTTGAAAAGATAGGCAGGTAAGAAAGACAAACACTTACACAATGTAAATTAATTGTGTACTATCTGTGGGAGAGCCATGCTTCGGCACGAATAGGTCGGTTCGATCGGAGTGATATCACGGCCTCACAGAAAACCGACGTGAAGCAACGCATGCGTTGCGTTTCGTCGTGTAAGTGAGGTTACCAGAGGCCCGATTACCCTCCCCTTTCCCAATCTCCCCAATTCCTGAATCCCCAACGATCCTCAAACTCCTAATCCCCAAAAGGCCGGTAACGCACTTGTAAAGCCTCTGGTGTTCCAGGTGTCCATGGGCGACGCCGATTGCTTACCATCAGGTGATCCGTCTGCTCGTTTACCGGCTTATGCCATAAAAAAATCTACTTTCGCTAGTTACATTGTAAATCATACAGAAATGTCCCGAAGGAACTGTGATTGTCACAGTAATTCCCAATTTTCGCCAGGCACATTGACTGCGACGAGCCCTTTTATATCGAGCACAATGCAATTCCCACGTTCTATATTCCGTGGTAATTCCAAACTTCGTGCTTCTATAAAAAAGAAGAAAACGAAAATTCGAAATGGATAACTACTTGCGTAATTGATTGTCAATGTAGGTACATACCTACTCTTAATCGTCCTAAGACGTGAAATGGTATCTACTTCGTACAGTGCCGAAAATATAAACATGCACCTGACCTAAGCATCTACTTACCATAATATTTACTGAATTATTTTTAAAACTCGTTATGTTGTTTTATTAGTTCTTTCTAACTTACGAACTGGCTAGATAGCTATGCCCTGAGTATCCACTATCGACGTTCCATTGCTGAATATCGTAGTACTTACAATAGTAGGTAAATCGTAAATGAAGTTTTAACTTCCATATGAATTCAGCAACTTAGCAAAGTATGTTTCAAAATTAGATTAAATAGTGAATCTTGCTTGAAGAGAGTTAATGAGATATCTAAATAAAAATAAATTAAAACATCACTATAGTACCTATTTTGAAAGAGCTGCGAATCTCTTCGCATTTTTGCTTTCTAAAGCTAAACTGCCAATGTAATGTAGGTACTTTATCCAAGTACTTAGGTACTCACTTTTGACAAATGAAAACTACCCACCTAATAATATTTCGACTTCAAATAGGAGAAGGTTTCCAATTCGCCGAAATAGTTTTGTTTTTCTTTAATAATTTTGGTCAATAAATGTTGTAAGTAGCTTCTATTGTTTATGTGCGCGTATGTCTGTGTGTGTTATCATAAAGTACGATGACGTGTTTATAGTGCATTTCAGGCGCGCGATGTCGGACCAATGGAAGTTTAGTAACAAGAGGCAGTGTTGTGGTTGGAGTGCCGCGCGGAGGTCGTGTGGTTCACGACACGGCGTGAAATAATACGCGATCCTTATATTCGTACAAAATTCAAATTGTCCTCAGTGAATTTGGACTTTACGTAGTTGAAATTGAGTTCTAAACAGTGCCAATTCTGGTTTCATCTCAAGTTGCGATTATAAAGTAAGTAGAATAGTTAAAAAGATTTATTTTTGTGCATTAATTTTAAGTATGTAAGTATGTATGTACCTACCTATTGGAATAAGTTTTCATCTCAGTTCCATTGTGCATTCAGGAGGAAATGGAAAATAAAATGAGGAGCCAATCGGATCAGAAATTTAAAATTCATTTCAGCATTTATTTTAAAGGACAAAAAGGTACATACGACATTTCCGGCATTAAGCTAGCTATCTAAATAATTACGATATTTTGGTAATTACAGATAAAGAATATAATGAACTATCTGTTGTTAAGGTAAAAATAAAATTCCTTTGAAAGTTTACAACGTACCAAATCACCCACAATAAGCTGGTAATTTGAATAAAACGAATTTATTCTGTATTGTGATGACCCCACGAAATAATTACCAGTTTAGCTAGAATATTTTTTATGAATGAGTTAATTTTTATTCCTGGTTTCACTAGTGTGATTCGTACCTATAGTAAGGGGGTACCTGGAGGTGCATGCAATTCGTAATTAATTATTTTCCTTCCTCAGGAAATATACATTGGTATTTATGTAGATACTTACAATTAATAAGATGAATAATACAAAAGAATGAGTTGACTGCAACTCATTCTATTAACTTCTATTAGGGCTAATCCCTGACTGCAACTCATGCCTTCAATAAAGTACATAGATTCGTCAAGTTTCGTAGTAAAATGTAAACGTATTTATTTAGGTAGGTACTAAACTAGTACTAAAGTTCCTATTTGGTACCGGTTGTGTATGAATCATAACCAAATGGACCCACTCGGTACTAGGTACTTACATAATAGGTATTATTATACTTAGGTACATAGTTTAACTGCTGACATACAAAACGAAGCAGAGATGGTTCTGTTTAGTTAAAAGTTAACCTGTTGAAATATCGTAGGTACCCTAAATTTGTTCATACAAAAGTTGTCTCTAAACATCGGAAATAAGGTCTATAATGTAGTTAATAAAGAGCGGTTACCGGTGTCCGCTTGGGGATTTTAATAGTGTTATATTAGTATTTAAGGCTTATTTCACACTGTCTGATTGAGTTTCTATTCTGGCAGCTTAACATAGTAACATAGCATACCAACTTTATGTAGTTTTAATGTTTGAACGCTGAACTTTTATCGATAATACTTACTTAGGTGTATCATGAACAGCAGTTTTTGAACCTGTATACAAACTGAAAATTGTAGTCCTACTTTTAACTGTAATAAAGGTACTTACCTCTATATGTAACATATGTACTTACAATCTTCATATCTACACAAACCATTCATAGTATGTATAGATATCCATGTTGATCATTCCCAAGTGCTTTCACTGAGCGTAGAATGTGCCTCGAATTTATGAACCCAAGCGCCCGTGAACCGTAATTATGTGGGTCACTGCCCTGAGAAAGGGTCAATTATAACAATCAGATGCCAATAGGTTCGACAGTCACCCAAGTTAAACAGCTGGTTAGAAAGAAAGGAATTAATTTTAATTTAATTTTGAAAAGGGCAGTGCATTGTTTCGTTGGTCTATACCAACGAAAAATGGTACCGCCCACCGTTACTATGAACTAGCTATGTCCTTTTTGAGTGACTGCTCTGCTGGATGAGTGGCCTTTGTCCCGTCAGAAACTATAAAACGCCACTATAGGTATACGATCCTTGCATACTTTTGCTTTCAAAACTTTTTTAAACTATTAACTAAAATAAAACTAACGACCTAAATAATTAGCTATGAAGCAATCTATTTCTTCAGTTGCTATCAAATAGATTATAGTAATCCTTGTCTATGGAAAAAGCTGGCATTTAATCAGTGTTGCTGTATGATCAGTGCGTGATTAGCGGTCATCAGGGTTATCGAATCTCACGTGCAACGATAATGGAAATGTAAATAAATATTTCCAATCAACTTTACCATTTATAAAACCGATAAAATTGAACTAGCGAATAGGTACTACTTAGTACTTTACTAGTAAAAAAAAAGTTTTTATGTCCAGAATAGAGATGGAGTAGCCAACACAGTCTAATTTAATGTTTTATTACATGACGATACCTACTGCCATTTCCAAAAATCATGAAATGGAATATTTTAAAATAATATTAGGTACTAGGTACCTACTAGAATGTAAAAACAACTATTAACCCTTCGAGCGTCCTTATGAGCACCCGGTGGATCATAAGATAAAATGCTCCATGCTGCTTTCTCTTTTATAAAATCTATTATTAATGTTTTGTTTTTATTTTGACTGTATTTTTTATTTCTATTGTAATGATCCTTGTTTCCGTGTGCCAATGCACCCGTTGGATCACAAGGAACGCGGACGCTCGACGGGTTAAAAGACAAGGTAAGTAATTTATAAAGAAAGGGAAGCATTTATTTTCATAAACTATCAAAAGATCCCCAGGTTTTGTCTAATTTCTAATGGTTAGATCATATTTACAGCTATTTATAGACTTTATCATTATCTTTATTTAATTATAAAATATGTTAGTACTGTTAATATTTAATTAGGTTGTTGTTTTTGTTATTGTGTATAGACGATTAATAAGCAAACATATCCGGAACTGCAATGGTCGCCACGTGAGATTTGTCTAGTTAAAGATATCGCTTGTTAATGGCGTAAACATGATCTTACGTGACTCATGACGTTAGAATTCTAAAGTATGTAGTTGTACTGCCTACTTATTTGTTATTAGTAGTGTCCGACCGAAATTTCGGTTTCATTTTCGGTTTCGGCCGAGTTTCGGTCAAAAATCATGTTTCGGCGGCAGTTTCGGTTTCGGCCAATATCGGCCGAAACTTTTGCCGAAACCGAAACTTATGTCGCAAGTTCACACACATTCACGCTCGCAGAACTCTGTTTCCCGCGGCACTGTACGATTGTCATTATTTGACAAATAAAATGTCACCGCCAACCTGTATAAAACTTTTTACTATTAATGCAAAATAATAGGTAAAATGCACCAAATTTCAGTATCTTAAGAAATTTTATACTTGACTACGTAAGTTTCGGTTTCGGTTTCGGCCGAAACTGAAGCCACGGCCGAACATTCGGTTTCGGTTTCGGCCGGAAAACCAGTTTCGGTCGGACACTAGTTATTAGATGATTTATAATCGTCTTCTTTCTGCCCTTGTTATAAGCTACCTGGAATTGGTATTATACGTCTTCTTTCCCATGCTCCCCTTTCAGTGGTCATCCTATCACAAACTCGTTTGTCTTTTATGTCATTCTTTACACAATTTTTTTTGTCTTTGTAATATTTTCTTTCTTTCTATCTTTGTAATATAAGTAGTCACTTTGTCAGACGATTTATAATCAAAGTAGGCTCATTATTTGTTTAAATTCGCACATACCACATGTGGGAGAGGCGATTATAGATCGCGGATTCTTTCATTTAGTGGGCTTACTGCCTCGTTGGCCGAGTGGTCGCAAGTGCGACGGGCAAGGGGTCTCGGGTTCGATTCCCGGGTCGGGAAAAGTATTACTGGGTTTTTAAAAAAAAACCTCAGTAGTAGCACGAAGTCTGGAAATGTGCCCGGTATATAGCAATAGTAACCCCCTAATACATGGGACTCATAACATAAATAGTGAAAAGTGGGTGTTGCTTCTGTGTGCACCTCTACTACACCCCTTCAGGTATAAAAGACGTGATGTTATGTTTATGTCTTCACACCTTTTTAGCGAATTTGCAACACCAGTCTACCACTTAGGTAGATACACAGTTCAGAGTTATACGGTTGGGCTAACTTTTGACAGACCTCAAAGTAATTATGTTATGTACTTCGCAAACTCAGACTGTAATTACGCTTAACAAAGTTAAACTTAACTTAACGATACCATTTTATTAATATGTATCCAGTGGATAAAGGTCTCATCTATTTAAATTATGGTTTACTATATACTTACTTTGTTGCTAATTTACTAGATACTTGGGTTAATATAGAGGTTTATAGGTGGGTTCTTCAGAAGTATGCAGACAACAATGTTAATGTCGATTGATTAAAATTTACCACGGTTAAACATTTTTTTTTCTTTTGGCAACCAAGTCTCAAATACGGTGTTGTTGTCGCGGAGAACCTAACGGGTAACCGGGGCTCCGGCTCGACGTGCAGGAGAAGGAACGGGGTGGTTTTTAGTCAGTAAGAGTCTGACACTCCCTTCCGCCTCACCCAGGCGGGAGCAGTCATTCGATGATTTTCCCCCCTTAAAAACAAAAATACGGTGTTGTCAACTATCACGGTTATACATTACGAAATGTGCCTGTTTAGGTGACAGGTAGGCGTGACAGATGCGTTTGCGACTGATCCAAAAAGGCTATGCAAGGCTATAGCGTTGACAAAGGTCAGTGTTTGAAACGTACGTGTGACACGATGGTGGTCTTGTATTGCCAAATGAATCGAATAAATGTAGCGTAAAACGTTTGAGGATTTACAAATGCAGATGAATTTACCTGGTTTGAAGGACTACCGTTTCTTTTTGCACACAAGATTAAATTGCAGCGTAGGGTCTGTTTACCCAATCATATAGTGATGCAGCCAAAAATTTAATGTTCAATAGTTTAACAATAGTCAAGTCTTTATTAAATTAACAGGACCTTTATTGGTTGCAAATGGGTAGGTAAAACACTGTCCCGTCACAATAGAAATTGTACTGTGGTCCCGTTGATCAATATACCTATTTGAAATTCGAGCAAGAATTAAAAAAAAACAGTCATCGAATTCGACCAATTATTTTGTAGTGTTACGTAGATGTACTTAACATCGGTAAGCGTCCACTCATTAACTGTCCATGTATCTTGTTTTGAGTTAAGTTTCCACTGAGAAAATCAGTTCATACTGGAACAATATAGATAAATTACTAGGCACCTTATCATAGAATAAATAATGATTCGTAATATTATGAATAAGTAAAAAGAAACAAAAAATTGGATAACCTTATCTCGATAATTTTTAGTTTGTTATGCGATGGGTCTTCATTGTTACATTATACTTGACCTACCGTGTCTTTCGCTGAGCAAGTGGCGACAGAATGTCTGCAGTTCTGCATTCCGATCCAACTGCATTAACAAACCTACTTCATTCACTAGAATCTAAAACATAAATTTTATACTTACGCTTTTAAGAATAACATTAAACTCTTTTAAATTGTAATATTTCTATAGGATTGATTTTTTTCTCTGATTTGTATCCTGGATGAGTTGTTTTATTTCCTAATGTTTGACGAGGCAACCCGATTAGTTTCAAGCCATGCTAGGTCCTAGCATGGTTGCATTAACTAGGAGGATCAAAACCACGCGCGACATCCGATCCGACACACAGCCAACTCTAAATTAATAATGCAAATATGACTGCAACTGCATGGTTGGTGCGGTGGCTGGGCAACTGGCTGCCGTGCAACGTGTCGCGGGTTCGATTCCCACACGAAACAACTCTTTGTCCACAAATTGATGTTCAAGTGGGCTTACTCTTGAATCCAATTCCGATCGATCGACATTGGTATTGCGAAATTTCGTACTCTTGAGTTGCAACACTGGCGTCCATTGCATCCGTATTGCGTAGATATTGAATGAACTAAATGGTATTGAGTTTGGCTTTATATTCCGTACTCTGAATGCTATATTAACAGCTACGATTGTGGTTGTATAGTTTTGACATTGAATAATTATTGAGATTTTATTGGATTGAAATTGTATTGACATTGAGATTGGTTTCAAGAGTAAGCACCCAGGTCTGGGTGTCATGTGTTTGTAAACTTGTAAGTATGTTTGTAAATGTAAACGCACATTGACACGAGATTCATAATTGTGTGGGGCAACGTTTAAAAAAAATATACTATAATGCATAACATACTTAATTATGTTTATTTTAATAAATAGAATACATAATATTTATTTAGTTTCGTTTAAAATAATTTAAACATAAAAAAGAAATAGATATTAGGACCTGGGACATAGGTACACACTGTATGTTACGTAGGTACCCACGAACCTAGATAGTTGAATGTCACCAAGAAGTATATCCATTGAAGTAATTTGTATCCAGTCCAATAGACTAACAATCACATTCGTTGGCCACTCGTACGAATAATAGGTACTTTACATACCTACCTATATCCACTTGTAGACCTACAAAGGATCGGGAGTATCTCGTTGTGTAGATATGCAAAATAAGGACAGTTTTTGCGTCAATACTAAGTGGCCATTGACCATATCGCCGTTCGTTATCAATCAAGCGCTCAGTTCTCTGGGAGTGTTTTATCGTGGCACAATGCTGCCGATGTAATTTACATAATAGTCAATGGCGGATAGTTTGTTGGCGGGAAAAATAATCTGTCACTTTTTTTTTTTTAGGACGAAACAATGTCGGCGAACGTCATCTTGGGGTGCGTGATGGCGCTGGTCATCATTCTCTTTACAATTAGCTCTATGGCCAGATATTATATTAAGGTATGTATTCTCGATTATCTGATTAATTTGTTTCTGGAAATGAAACATGTGTTATTAGCAAAATAGACCATACTTTAAAGTGCAAAGGTTGCTTGTTGTGTGGCGGTTTCGCAACAAATATTATGATGATGATGATTGATTGTTTTATCGTTGTACTTTGGATCATCATGGACTTTGGCTCGGAACAATAACTAAAGCATGGAAGCCAGGCTAAAATAGCAATTTACAAACGTATATCTGATGCTCTCGCTCTTTACACGATTTTGCGTAGGCGAGAATGAGACCGCAAACTGAACATAGTTCTGATAATTTGCAGGTTGTCACAACTTTCAGTGGACTCATTACAATCTTATGTCATTGGACTCATTCAGCATACTACCAAATTCAAAATCACGTTTTGACGTTCTATGTTTCACAGTTTCACTCAAGTTTGACACCTTCCTCACTTTGCCGGATTATAGTACTGAAGTGTCACCGTGGTTGTATTTACGGCTCCTTATAATAAAAAATATTTTCTAAGGAATTAGCGCAAAAGAAAGGAAGAAAGAAAGTGTATGGTCGTTCTGTATTATGTGTTTTACTAAATAAAAATACGTCTTGTGTGATTGACGGCTGCAATTCACATTTAGGAAGGAAAGAAAATAGTGGTGAAAAAATTAACTTTCATTCGTATATTTTTGATATGTTTTAAAATAAATTATATTGGAAATACCGGTAAACTATAAATAAACGTTACTTATTTATTATCGTACTTTTCAATTGTAAGCCTAAACAGTATTATTCCACCTTTTCCTAAAAAATCTAAATCAATTTTTTAAGTTAGTTTTTAAGCTAGTGATGTGGTCATGTTACATATCGATATTTTAGTTAGGCTTTGAAGTTCTTTATAGTGTAGACGTCGTTTAGAACCCGAGTCACATGATACTTTTGATGATTTGACAGACCACAACTACATTTTGTACCCATCATCTATTACGGAATATTCTAAAAATATCATAGAATAAAAATATCATAATCGGCTTTATCGGAACGAAATTAAAAAATCTTTACAATGCGAAAAATGCATAGAAAGTCTTGAGAACACGGAGAGTATTCCTTAAAGATCTTTGATATCTTTAATATAGAAGAGGCCTATTTAAACCAACATATGGCTTAACCAAGATCAGTCAACTGTCCGAAAAAATTATAAGAGAATATCAAGTGCATATTGATTCAAAATCTCTCGGTAAACCAAAATAATTATTAGAATGATTAATAAAGTTTCAGCAAATGTGTTGCCGTCAGAAAATTTTCGTAAAAAGAAAAGATTATTCATTAGAACAATCTTTCTATAATGATCACAGAAATCTTATAAAGTCCATAGCACAAAAATATTTTAAACTTAGGATACATTATATAACTAAAAATTTGACTGTACCTACCGAAAAAATTCGCACATATTTAACAAAGACAATTATATTTAAAAGTCAATGATAAACACATAATAGTGCACCACTACCACGGTTTGTAAATACGCTTTGTTTGTGAGCAATTAAATTATCTTTTTAATATTGTGTTTTATTTCTGAACCCACGACATCCAGATTAAGAACATATTGTACGTTAGACCACAGCAGCAATACTTTCAGGTACAATAATTTATCGATAAAATATATTAATATATTCCCATCACTAGCATATTTACAAGTAGTGACAACCCGCATAATAACGAAACGAAACAATACACATGTCTCTTTCTTATACACTATCAATACCATAAGTAAAAAAAAGATGAATATATGGAGTGCAGTTGTTATTTTAGCCTGGCTTCTATGCTTTAGTTATTGTTCCGAGGACTTTGGTCCTTTATATTGATACTTTGCACAGTCGCGAAGTTTCCTTTATAAAATAAACGTTAAATTAGACATTAGGAATGCAAACAAATACTTAGGTGCGTTATGTTTATTCAAACAATCGTATTGTATTTTTAAAACATTAATTATAGACCATAATTACTTATTTAATTTCTTCTGGTATGGTTTAACGGAAGAGATTAATGTGGGGTATTAAATGTAATTAATATAGTATCTTGGTAGGTACCTATTATCTTTACCCCACCTGTTATATTATTATAGGATTCGATATATCTGTATGATGATAAAACTTGTGATAGGAAATATGACATTATATAACAATAAAAGTTATAGTTAATTGTTTGTGATTTAAAAATCAATACTTTACAACTTGATTGAGGCATGGGAACTAAATACCTTTCCCTGAAAATATAATAATGAATTGAATTTATTGAATATTTCATCAAATCTAAAAAATGTTCATTAAATCGACCCGAGATTTTTAAGCAAAGTAGGTAAATAAATAAGTACTTCACACAACATTGTTTTGAGATATTTAGATAAGTAAATACCTACATAATTATTTGACACACTTATAACATACACAAATAAGATAGGACTTCAAATAGGACAGTCATGACCTACCTTAACATCTTACGAAATATTGATTACACGTGTAGGTAGTTGTTACAAGTATTTAATGTCATAATAAATATTATTAACATAGAATTGTGTCCAGTAATATGACAATGGGGTCACCGTATCTTATATGAGGCTGTGTGAAGGGAAAAAGGCATGACGTCATATTAGTTTGTTGATTCTATACATATATTAATAAGTTATTTTAGATATTTAGAAATAATAAGTTCATTAAGTAGGTACGATACGTCTGAAATATTAAGGTGAAAGTAAAAAAACATATTGCGACAGCGTACGTACGTGCTGTAAAAGTAGCACAAAGAAAACACATAAACCATAAACATTGATAAAAATAATGTGCAATATATGCCTGAAAGTTTTTCTCGTAAAGTTATATCGATTTTAATTTAATATTGTTGTTAGGTAGGTATTTTTTTTAATTATTTGCAAACATTAGCCTTCGATCTACTTTGAGAACGCTTTGATAGAAATTATTTGACGTAGGTATCTGAAAACACTTGCTCGGCAGCCGCGCATGCAACCGCTCGCCCACAGATAATTAAGTTTTCATTAATGTGACTTTTTTTTTCAGTTCACACTGTTCATCGTCATGTCATTAATATTCGCCGCAGCACCAATGACACTTATGTTGATCAAGCCATTCGACCCAAGAAATGCATTGTAAGTATTATTCTAGCTACTTTCTCGCGAAATCACCCGCTGTGCTTCTCCTATCGATCTTACCGTGATGGTTTATAGGCTATAACTTCCCTTCATAAATGGACTAGCATAAATTTTTTTGAAATCTTCCTAGTTATTCAAGTCGGAAAAAATACAATTATAGATACTTTGTCGGACTCTTAAAATCGCTTCATGTTTAATGAGCGTGTATTACAATACACATACTACCTATATAAGAAGGTAAGATAATTAATATTCAACGAGCAAGTCGGTTAGCACTAATTATACTATTTTCGTTTTTGTTTACAAGATAAACAATCGATGGTCTTAAAGTTCAATACCTATTTATGTTATTGTCACCTGAATGATTTTTTTGCTTAGCAACACGTATTCGTATGTGTACAAAAATCTATGAATACAATATAAATAGCATTGTATTTATGAATGCCCTTTAGCCATTGTTTATTCGTAAATATTTCCTGTTAGAAGATCAGTAGGTAAAAGTTATTTTTGTAAAACTTTAACTGAAGAAAAGAATATAGTTATTAGTTATTCATAAATACTTCCTTCAGTAGAACGTGTATTTTGCTGCTATTTTGGTGATTAGACACTACGTAGTAGCAGCGTAGAAACATCGTAGTTTCTGCGTAGCTGTTGCCTGTGTAAAGAGTACCGTAACTGCTACGACGAAGGGCCGTAGCGTACACTTTACGTAGCTTTTGCGTAGCGCCACTTTGAATGACTATATTCTTGCGTAGTTGCTACGTAAGTGTTGCGTCAGACTGTACGCCTAAAATTATTATTTTGCATTTATTAATAAATGTTTTGTAAGTTCTACTTTTACTAAAGGTTTTGTTTTATTTCCCTTTCTTTAATTAACTGCCATGTTTTACAGCCACAGTGATATGACATGAATAAATTCCCTCTCACTAATAAGATACTCCAAAGAATTTCTATAGTGGCTAGACTACTTTCGGTGACTAAGTTTAGTGCTTATCTTGGCGAACAATCGATTGTAACCAGCCAAGACGTTGTTAGGTTCATAGTGTATGGCAGCACTAACTAGGTCAAGGTTTTGTCTATGCGCTTTTTCCTTGTTGAATTATTTTGTCTATGTAATTTGTGTTCGGAATTCAATTTCAATGTAATATGACGCGCATTTTAATTTACATTGAACAAAAATGAACATTGTATTATTTCTTTAAACTTTTTAGGAACTAAATTAAATTTTTATTTATTTTTATGTGTGACTTAAAACGTAATAATATTTTATTTAAATAATAATACACGTGTGCATATTTATTTTTTAAATATATTCTTTAGAACGCTAAGTAACTAAAATTGGAATTGATATGCAAATTGAAGAGTAAATGTTCAATGTTCATTTCGATTAGTGAAATTGACGAGGAATACGATAATTAACAAACAGTGCGCATTAATTGATATCGAGTACCTACGTTTTCGGTTCGCAAGTTCGCAATTTAAGAAAATATCTACTAGTACCAACTGGGAATATTAATTTTTTTGTTTTATTCTTGTTCTCTTTTCACTTTGTTTGTTTTATTTACATTTTATTTTTATTTTTGCCATTAGTTACTGTTTTTTTACGTCTTGGTAATAATGCCGACTCTAAATAAATATATTTCTTTTTTTCAAAATTTTATGAAACATACTTTTTATTTTCAGAATACCAGCATTCTTCTTAAGATGTTTTGCGAGGATACTGGGTCTACGATGGAAGGTCAGAGGGCTGGAAAACGTGGACAATAGTCGGGGAGCAGTTGTTCTATTGAACCATCAAAGCAGTTTGGATCTTTACGGTGAGTTATTATGATTAGCTATGAACATGTTCATCATCAACTTCACTCATGTTGATCATCAGCCAGAACTGTCCATTTTTAGACAAAAACATCATATCATAGGTATCTGTCAGTCAGTAGTGAAGACAAAGGTTCAGTAGCAACAGCCAATGATAGGCCCACTGCAGGACGATGGACCTCCTCTACATGATATACCATAATTCCCACGCTTGCCAGGCGGATTAGAGGTCGTAGTTTTTTCTATTTTCTATGGGATAAGCCGGTATACGAGCAGATAGATCACCTGATGGTATGCAATCGTCGTCGCCCATGGGCACCCAAAACACTAGAGGCGTTACAAGTGCGTTACCGGCCTTTTGGGGATTAGGAATTTGAGGATTGTTGGGGATTCGAGGAGTTTAAAAGATTCAGGTTTATTAGTGAAAGCTGCTGCCAGGTATTTGTCTATGTGTAATTCTGTGGTCTGATCTTATATAATGATACTCGCGAACAAAGAAGGGTACAAGATAAATTTATTCTATTTTACATAAGTTACTACTACTATTGTCTATCCAATTTTTTCAAACAATTTGTAACATTTACCGGTAATTTCTAAAATTGTTGACTAGTAAATAAGGTCTATTTTATCATTATTTACATTACAACAGCCATTACAATGCAATGCAGGAATTATCATTGTAATGTTTCCTGTGACATACGATATCTATTCAGTCATCTGATGGGTATCTATGCGTTACCTATTACACTATAATCGTAGGTTTAATATTTATTTATGAGTATAGTTGTTGATCATAAGGACTCGAAAGGTTTGGTTCTCCTCTTACGAATCTCCTATCTTGGGATAAGGGCTTGTCCTTGTTCCAATTTTACGGAGTCGTGACTTTTGGAGCTGACAATAGTATGAATATTGTTTCGTTACATTCTTTTTTCTCCTTACTTTTATCTTTTCTTTCATGTTACATGTTATACATTACACACATAACATCACGCCTTTTATCCCCGAAGGGGTAGGCAGAGGTGCACATTACGGCACTCAGTGCCACTGTACAATGTAACACGCGCTGTTCACTATTTACTTATGTTATGAGGCCCATGTAATAGGGCGTGAGCCTATTGCCATATGCTGGCCACATTTCCAGACTTCGTGCTACTACTGAGAATTTTTAAAACCCAGTATTACTTTGCCCGACTCGGATAATCGAACCCGAGACCTCTTGTCCGGCAGTCGCACTTGCGACCACTCGGCCTACGAGGCAGTCTTTCATGTTACTTTTGACAAAATTAATGTTCAACCATTTTTTTTAATCCCGATACAAACAAAAAAGTAATATAAACAATACGCGTAATTTATCTGAATGTCTTCATAGCAGCTCTCAAACGAACGAACCGATGATGACTAAATTATTCCAATATTCTTCGAAAGTTCAATGCATATTAATGTTATTGCGATACTTCATACTTCATTTTAAAATGGACCAAAGAGCCAGTACCTACACAAAAATGTTTACTTAACTTACATGATTATTTTGAAAACAGTTCTGCAAGTAGGTCCGTAAATATATTTATGACGATTTCAAATATAAACAAGCATTGCACATTACACGTGACGGATCTGCATTTAGTACACTGCATAATATATATTTAATTTGTAATCAGTTTTAAGTAGATATGATTCAGTTGATTACATGATGATGAGACATTTTTTTTGTTTTAAATCAGTACTTAGCAAAGTTTTATATAATATTTGGTGCATTATTTTAATCTAGATAAATTTATTACACGTGAGAAACATGTCTAAAAGTAATGAGTAATTGCCTAATTCTTTTTGTCGGGGTTCATTATTGTTAGGCCAAAGTTTGCAAGTCGATGGTAGTCGGAAAATAGTCGTACTGGGAAATCCGTCATGCTGGGATTTTTTTTTTAATATTCGAAGGTAATGGAATAAGAAAATAATTGGGTTTATCATAAACAGGTCACATATGTACCGCAGTTACTTTAATGAACGTATCGTATTATAATAGGTCCACAGATTGTGCAAGCGATATGGTTTACTATCTAGATAAGAAAATATGAAGACTATCAGATTTTTAAAGTAAAATAACGAGCAGGAGATAATTTAAAAAACAATACAATATATTTAATGATTTTCTGATTGTATATTTTTTATTAATTTAATAATAAAGTAGTATTTTTAGCTTAATTAGCAATAAAATTGAAATTTATAATCACAGTCAATGCATTTATATCAAAGTAAATGTTTTATGCAATTTTCTTGTGCAGCCGCATGAAAATTCGTTTTCTCGAGTGTTCTAAATAATAATTACCTATACTATAATCACTATCTATCACTAAATCTAATTTCATTAAGATCTTTCTAGCTCTCGCATATATGTGAGACATTAGTTACCAACAAAGCGACATGAGGTACAATCCGTACAATCAAGAAAATATACAGTGTCTGTTAGTTTGTGGAAAAATAAAAAAAAAACTACAAAACAATTATGTATGTTTTATATTTCATTTTAGATTATATTCATACATAAGTTTTTGCTATGCTAAGATTTTTAACAAAAATGTCTAGTGTATTATTTAAAAAAAGTGACAAAAGAATTATCTTTATTCGCAAGTCATTTAATTTTCAAATGTACAAGGTTAATTAGGAAATAATGTTAATATTCAACGCCCCACCTAATCCCTGGTTACTTAACGTTATCAGTTATAACGGACTTTGTATCAGTCTGTTGTTTATCCGTGATAAGAGAAAGCTGATGGAAATTGTTATTAGATAGATAAAGCCCGCCACTGTTAAGTACATAGTGGATCAGTTCCCATCGATATTATTAAAAAAAACCTTTATTGCTGTTAGTTTCTATACAGTATGTTAAACGAATCTATTAAACCAGGGCTGTGCAAACTTTATACCTTCGCGGGCTAATTTCTTACAAAAGCTGGAGAGCCAGAAAAATGTTTTCAGTTGTAAGTATAATGACGTTTCATTGTATTCTTTACTCACAGACAAAAATTGTATACAAATCATACTGAATTTTATTATTGTTGTTGCACATAAGATGAAGACGATGAGATTTATGTAAATGTGTGTCGCGGGCCACATGAAAACATGGCCTTTGTTTGGACAGCCCTGTATTAACTATTACACTATTGTATTGTAGGTACTATTACTACTTAAATTAAATATCAACGATCGAATTGTTTTTTTTACAGCTTGTCCCACGACATAGGACTCCTCTAAAGATTTCCATGACTCTATCTCTAGTGATTCTGCTCCTGCTACTTGTCTTATATCATCTTTTCAACGTTTGCGCTGTCTCATTTACATCGATATTATTCGGTACTAGCAACTTCCACGCGGTTTCACTCGCTCTACTGGGCGCCTATTAATTGTAGCGTGATATTTTATAGTCTATAGAATTCCTCGATAAATGGGCTATCTAACACAGAAAGATTTTTTAAATCGGACCAGCAGTTTCGGAGATTAACGCGTTCAAACAAACAAACAAACTCTTCAGCTTTATAATAGATATGTATCTATATTGGTGTTTTTATTAAGTGCGTACAGCGTATTTGATCAAAGTCAAAGTCAAAGCATTTATTTCAATAAATCCTTAATTAGCCACTTTTGATATACAAGTAGGTAAGAAAACAAAGGTTAATTCGACTCAGACAGTACCATTAATTGTCTTCTGAGCCCTCTATAAGAGATTTACACGATTATAAGAGATTATGTGTATCAAATCTATATTTTTTTACCTACATATTAAATAAATTAATTATACATAGCTGAAGACTTTCTTTCTTTGAACGCGCTATTCTCCAAAACCACTAGTCCGATTTAAATAATTATTTTTGCGGTGGATAGTACATTTATCGAGGAAGGCTATAGGCTAAACAGCTGCGGAGTAGCTAGTATCGAATGATTTGGCAGACTGTTCTTTAGAAATGACTTAAATGAATGAATTTTAGAATATAACTTTCAATTTCCAAAAATAAAAGTAGCCTAGGTATGTTACTCCTTAGTACATTAGCTACCTGCCAATAAAAGTCTTGCAAAATCGGTCCAGCTTCCATAGCTAATGCTAGTACAAACAAACAGATAGACAGACAAACAAAAATTGCTTATTTTAATATTACAAACAGACACTCCAGTTTTATTTATCTTGTATAGATATACAATAGATACGTTAACATAGAAAACTTTTTTTTCTATATTAATTCAAATAACTGCTATCTACTGGGAGTTTTCACAGGTGGTTATTTAATATTCTTAGCTTATTCATACATCGCTCTAATATCTAATAATATAAAAAATGATGAATATCAATATTCTAAAGTCTGATAGTCAACAGCTTTACGTCATTATACTTGTTTCACTTATCTTCCGACTTTGAGAAATGTTTCGTCATTTAGGCAAAAGATTATCGAGGATTATTTTATTAATAAAAGTATTTAAAGTATAAGAATATCATTTTAATGTTACCATGACATCTGTATGTAGTTGGTATCTAAGTGGAATCGATGAAGGATATATTTAGAATTTTGATTAAATGGTATATTTGTAGCAAGCACAGATGCAGCTTGTAATAAGCCCAAGTTTCCTATTCTCTTATAATAACTTTTAAAAACAGCAAATGCTTCTAATAGGTACTTATACATGTAAACGAATGTTCTACTGTTTCGCCCTTGTAGACTATTTGGGTCCGATTGTGAGACCCCATAATGAGACCAAATGAAAGTTAAACGCTCGTAAGAATCCACGCAAGTGTATCAAAATCAGCGTAGCCGTTTAGGTGCTCAGTGACATATAGACAGTCGTACATACCGAATACCTACCTATGATAAAGGTAATCAATTTCTCAATGACATTAAAACATCTATAAAAGCATCTAGAAACAAAATATTCCAATATACTTTGTACTCACAGATTATATTATTACGAATTCTAATCTCTTGACATGAACATTCCGTTCTTAAAATATTGCGTAGGCGATTCTATTACCTACTTATAGGTACTGTTATCATTTCTTTGAAAGTCAATCAGCAGTTCGGTGTTACCATGACTAATATGCAATGATATTTACGATTATTACCGCTCTAATATGTACTTACTAAGCTATTATAAGGAACGAAATGATGGATGACGTAGGGTATGACTTCAGAACAGCACATTATGCATTATTGTTTCACATTACCTTCACAATTTTCAGTGTTTAGGCAGATTAGATACTTCATATGAATATTCAATGTTTTGTGTGGAAATTTTCCACGATGGAAATATTTTCAGCAATTTTCTGGATGATTGTTATTCTTATGCAGTGCTCAGGCTGTGCTGAATAATGAAGTTCGGTTTTAAAATGCGCGTAGATTATGGACTAACAAAATAAGCTTTTGTCTTTAGTAAGGAAATACCTTATATTTAAATTTAGTCATCTTCCTTCCTCATAATTTCAGTATGTAGTTTTATAACTGCCAAATTAAATAACCTATTTGAATCCAAAATATGAAGGTATGTATCGATATTTGACATTAGTTGTATGAAGTTTCAGTCAAAAATTGCTCTTAATTCACATATTTTGGACTGAGATAGGTTATTGAAACTGGCAGTGCCTAAATCAATTGTATATTAGGTATGAATCGCATGTTTTCATGTAAAACAGTATTGATTGACATATTCTCTTTTGATTTTTAGCGTTAGCAATAATATGGCCGCTCATGTCTCGGTGTACGGTGGTATCGAAGCGATCACTGCAGTACCTCGTACCGTTTGGCACTGCGACTTGGCTGTGGGGCACCGTTTTCATAGACAGAGGAGCGAAAAGTGCACGCGATGCCCTCAACAAGCAAGTCGACGCTATCAAGAACGAAAAGGTACTAAAACATTTCCTTTCTACATTTCTAGAACATTCGGCACGTGAAATTAATCAGATAGACATTCAAACGTTCATATCTAAGAACTAAGCAGGATTACTCAACGATTAAACAATAGCATAGTCCCCACCTATTTAATTAATCATTGATAAGTAGGTAATGTAATCAGAGGTGTGTCGTGTGGTCATATACAGGTATTGTTAAATATTGTATTGTTTAGTGAACTTAATATGCATTATTATAAGTGTAATTTTGATGATGTAAGAGAAAATATGATGTGGCTTCAACTTCTCACGTTTCTATGTACCTGCTATTCTTAGAAGATAGAGGTAACTCTACGCGAGTTATGTTTTATGTAGGTAGGTATTAGTCCCGTGACAGCTGTGGGAACGTAATATGAGATGACCTAATTAAGTTTCCATGGTCTTATAGTAAGAGAAAATATTATCTAAGTAATCGAAAATTGTTATTTAAAGTGATCAAATAGGTTTTTTCAATAATTTTTCCAATAAATCAACCTTTGCCATTGGTGTCAAAGTCGAGTTACAAATGTAGATGATAGGTATATTGTATTGTATGCAACACACGCGTTTTCCTGCTAGCCAGAGTCTAATGTGTTCGTATTAGTCCTGCAAATAAAGAGACCTTGTACTTGCGTTGTCTTACGGCGCATTTCGTCATTATACGTATGATCTAATCGCTGGTACACCTACCCGCTAGTGTCGCTAATGTTTACGATAGACTGGATTTCTAAACAAATATTTGACTGGATTAAGTAAATATCCTAGTCTCGTTGGCGGGCCGCATCAATGACTTTGTCGGAAGTTCATTAACTCTTAATTTGGTATTTTAAACAAAACTTTGTGTATTGTAGATTAGTAGATATACATAATACATACGTACTTAATGATAGGTACTTAAAGTTGCCTTTAGAAACAAATGGAACACCAACAACGATGACGCTATCCGATAATAGATTTATCTTATACCAAAACAATTCCATATGCCGTGCTCCGACAGAGAGAACCTAAAAACCCGATGATTGTCCAATCCAGAATTGAAAACAAGACACATTGCTCCCCTTTCTCACTGACATTCACTTGACCACCGACACGGAAATAAGAAATAACCAACTGACCTATTATTTCGAGATGTTGCAATTGTCCAAAGTAACAATAGTTTAGGCAACAATGCTACACATGCATAATTCACTCGTAAGTGTAGTCCCACTTTTATTGATGCCGTGTTCAAAACCAAAGTTCATTGGCCCTGTAAGCGTATTTAAGTAATATAAATCGAATGTTATATAAACATTTACTCACATTATATTATGCTGAAAGAAATTGCTTGCGTAATTAGTTAGCAGTTTGAAAAATGTGTGGTTGTCTGTTTTCTGCATAGTAAGATATTTGACAAGCAATAAGTTGCTATGCAGATAGTGGATGCTAATTAGTAGGTATTTTTAAAAGATGAGGTGTAGATGAGGTGTAATATTTTTCATGCATAAGTAGAGGTTCGAAAATCAATAGACATTTTACATTACTACGTTTTGTTTTAGAAATCTTACAACATTGCAGATTTAAGACAGTTTTCAATCTAAAAATGTTTGTTTAATAAAAAATAAAATTAATATAAGTCACCGTCGTCTAGAAAGTTCTTTACCAGTTTTTTTCAGGTTTTCGTTAGTTATGATAATATGTAGTTAGACGATAACTTTATAATTTAATTTGTTGTTATTGTGTTCATTATCATTAAGCATAACAAATTACTTACCTAGCTTTTCAGCACTTGTAGATAAAGTGTATTAGAACTTTTGTGGGCAGAACAAAAACTGGTTCTCCGGGCCTTTGGGAAAAAGTTAATGATACCTGTGTTGTAATATGTTAATTGTTATTAGTTTTGTTTTTTAATTAATGCAACCTTGTTTGTTTAGTGGTCTCTAGCTAGACTGCTGAGTAAGAAGGTCCCTAAATCCCTGGTCTGGTCTGGAAAGTAGATCTACCTATCAATGTATTTTTTTTGTATCTCATATAAAATAATGAGAGGTTGGTTTTTCGCAGGTCAGGCTAAGAATCTATTAGATACGTACGATTTTTCGTTTATCCAGTCTTCCATGACATGGAATTATTCACAGTCAGTTTGCTTTTGTTTCCTGTATTATAAAGAAATGAGGTAATTTACTTAGATTTATAACACGTCAGAAAATATTATGTAGAAATATGCGTGCGCTCATTGCGTACGCAAATGCGTGTACCTACCTACACGTGCAGAACGAGTCTATAATTTTCATATAAGATTTTTTGCAAAAATATTAAAATGACTATTGCTTATCATTAAGGGCCGATTTGTCAATCAATATATAATTCTTAACAATAAAATTGATATTTGATAGTTATTAGAATGGAAGAATTGTCAAATATTCAGCTATTCCTCTGGTAAAATGTAACTGGTGTTGGAAAAGTCGGCCATATACCTATGGCTTATTTTTTTGTTCTTTGGATAAAAAGCGAGGCAATATAATAATCATTAAATATTCATATATTTATTTTAATGAGTTCTACTTACTAAGGATATTTTTTACTAATCACAGTAAATAAAAAATGCTAATGAAACGAACCATAATGTGTTATATATTAACTAAAGTACAATAGGGTTACAACCGAATGAATTCGTACACATTATTTAACTCGTACCTTAAAGTTTGCTGCTAACCTTGGTCGTTAATTCATACTAGCTCGTGAACTTTGCAAGGTAAAATCGCATTCATAGGCTAATGTTAATGTAAACAAATAAATTGGCAACGAAGGAAAATATCAGGCATCCTAGAATAGATAGGTACCTTATTACATCAAATATTTAGTGTTGCGGTAATTTAAAGTCCTAATTAGACAACCTATTTACAATCTGCGATCCTTCTCCTTACGAAAAGAAACCTTTTAACTAAATAATATATTAGAACTTAGGTACCTACATTCCTTTTCCTTACTAACAAAGCAATCAAAATTTTGTTGATTTTGAATTGGGTACTTTACTTAATCAAAAATAAAATATTTCGATGTGCAATACAATAAAATATTATAATATAATCACACTTTCATAATTGATTTTATGACCAACTTAATTTTAGTATTTTCCAGCAAATTTTAAAAAAATAAGTATACTGTTTGACGCTAAAAAAACGTGACGTCACAATACAAAATCTCGTACAAAATTCATAGAAAAATGTCGTTTTTGACAGTTCGAAAAAAGCCTTACCGACTCGTAGTCACACCAGATTATCACACCAGTATGACAAACAGGATTTTTTTCCTCGTTTGTCACACCACTTATTTTTCTACACCATTTATTCTTAACTAGTGCTGTCCTAGAGCTAAATTAAAAATCATCAAATTATCAAGTTTTATTAAATTGATGCCTTTATTTAATTAAATGTGTAACATAAAGTAATAATAAACTAACTATGTATAGTAATAATATGTATAAACAGGTAGTAAAAAGAAACTCATAGGGCGTCAATTATTATAATTAAGTTTATGGCGAAAAGAGAAATCAATTGGTTTGAAAAGTAAACTATATAAAAGAATCCATCCCTATCTATATCAATGGGAAAGGTGCCCAGAACGCTGGCAGCATTGCCACGTTGGATGGCAATGCTGATTCGTTGACAAAAGAAAAGCCCGGCCCTGTGGTCACGCGAAGAGTCGACGTTTACTGATATCTCGAACAACACGATGAGCGCATGTAATTTCCGATAAGGTTTATATTTGTGCCGCAGAGGGTTTCTGCACTTGCGGCAGCCACCCCAGCACAACCTGCCGTAGTCAGAAGATGAGATGGCGAAGGGTATCGACACATGTTGCAAACCTTTAAATTAAATTAACTATCGAGTGTCCTCGAAATCTATCACTTTCGGGCGTCCTCGAAATCTATCGAGCGTCCTCGATCACTTTCGAGCGTCCTCGAAATCTATCGGGCGTCCTCGATCACTTTCGAGCGTCCTCGAAATCTATCGGGCGTCCTCGATCACTTTCGAGCGTCCTCGATCACTTTTGAGCGTCCTCGATCACTTTCGAGCGTCCTCGAAATCTATCGGGCGTCCTCGATCACTTTCGAGCGTCCTCGATCACTTTTGAGCGTCCTCGAAATCTATCGGGCGTCCTCGATCACTTTCGAGAATCCTCGAAAACTATCGGGCGTCCTCGATCACTTTCGAGCGTCCTCAATCACTTTCGAGTATCCTCGAAAAACTATCGAGCGTCCCTCGAAATCTATCGAGCGTCCTCGATCACTTTCGAGCGTCCTCGAAATCGATCGGGGTCCTCGATCACTTTCGGGCGTCCTCGAAATCTATCGGGCGTCCTCGATCACTTTCGAGCGTCCTCAATCATTTCGAGTATCCTCGAAAACTATCGAGCGTCCTCGATCACTTTCGAGCGTCCTCGATCACTTTGAGCGTCCTCGATCACTTTTGAGCGTCCTCGAAATCTATCGAGCGTCCTCGATCACTTTCGAGCGTCCTCGAAATCTATCGAGCGTCCTCGATCACTTTCGAGCGTCCTCGAAATCTATCGAGCGTCCTCGAAATCTATCGAGCGTCCTCGATCACTTTCGAGCGTCCTCGATCACTTTCGAGCGTCCTCGAAATCTATCGGGCGTCCTCGATCACTTTCGAGCGTCCTCGAAATCTATCGGGCGTCCTCGATCACTTTCGAGCGTCCTCGATCACTTTTGAGCGTCCTCGATCCACTTTCGAGCGTCCTCGAAATCTATCGGGCGTCCTCGATCACTTTCGAGCGTCCTCGATCACTTTTGAGCGTCCTCGAATCTATCGGCGTCCTCGATCACTTTCGAGAATCCTCGAAAACTATCGGGCGTCCTCGATCACTTTCGAGCGTCCTCAATCACTTTCGAGTATCCTCGAAAACTATCGAGCGTCCTCGAAATCTATCGAGCGTCCTCGATCACTTTCGAGCGTCCTCGAAATCGATCGGGCGTCCTCG